GGGAGAAGAGAAGAAAGAGGGAGGAGAGAGAGAGAGAGAGAGAGAGATATTAGCGGGTCTGGTAAGGTCCTTGGGTCTGGTCCCCCCCCCCCCCCCCCCCCCCCCCGTGCCATCTGGATTCTCCATTGCCGACTCCTCCTTCATTCCCTCTCACTCTCCAGTCTCTCGCCGCCATCTTGCGTGCGTGTTTTGGTTCAATCCTCCGGTAGTGGCTCTCTTCTTCCCTTCTAATAATACTCTTCTCCTTCCTGTCTCGGAACTCATCTAAACCCTCCCCCCCCTCCTCTCTCTCTCTCCTCTCATCCGCTTTGATCTACGCCCATTGCCCGCCCTGCCGGAGTCGTCGACAGTCCGACCTCCACATTCTTCCTTCTTCTTTTCCACCTTCACTCTCCTACTTTTTTCCCTCTCTCCTTCTTCTTTTTTCCCCCCTTTTATTATTTTATTATTTTATTCTATTTTGAAATTCTTCTTTAAACGTAATCATCTTCTACCCTCTTCTCCATCCCTCCTCTTCAACCAGAGTCGGACGCCAAACGGTGGTCTTCGTCGTCGCCGTCGCCCTTAGTCACGAGTCGACAACTCGTCCATGACGGTGCTCATCCGACATATGCTGACATCAAGACGCTCGTGACATGGCTGCCCCGGCCGACGACCGTCATGACCTCCCTCAGCCCGTCATGACGGCTCCCGACGACGAGTCCCGTCGCCGATACCCTCAGCATGGCCAGACACCCTCCGAGGCGACCTCGGCCAACACCTATCAGCAGCAGCAGCCGCCGCCGCCGCTGCGGGCCGACGACGGTCCCTCCCAGTCCACCGAGCGCCTATCCGCTCACCCCGACTCCGCCCCCGCTGCGTCCCCCGTCCGCGCCGACAGGACGGGCGCCGCCGCCTCGTCGGTTCGCGAGCGATTCGCCGCCTCCATGGAGAGGCGGAAGCGGCGCAAGATGGCCAGGAAGATGCGCAGGCCTACCGCCGCCACCACCTTCGTCGACAGGCTGCGGCGCAGCCTGGCCGCCCTGTACCAGCTCGTCGTCATCCAGACCATCCTGCGCCGCAGACCCCTGCCGGCCTCCGAGCACGGTCGCGTCGTGCCTCTCAACCCCGATCCCTCCGAAGTCGGCCCCAGGGGGCTGCTCGACGAGCGTCGCGGCCACAACAAGCCGTTCATCAGCAACTTCATCCGTTCCAGCCGCTACACCCTGTGGACCTTCGTCCCCTCCCAGCTCGTCTTCCAGTTCAGCAAGCTCGGCAACTTCTACTTCCTCGTCGTCGGCATCATCCAGCTGGTCCCCGGCCTGAGCACCGTCGGCCGGTGGACCACCATCGCCCCCCTAGGCGTCTTCGTCGCCCTCAGCATGGCCAAGGAAGGGTACGACGACTGGAGGAGGTACCAGCTCGACAAGTCCGAGAACCGCAGCCCGGCCTGGGTCCTGTCCGGCGGTGTGCGGCAGAACCCGCAGAACCGACCGACAAAGTTCCACGGCAAGGCCTGGCAGGACGACGCCGCCGCCGCCGATGCCGCCAAGGCGAGCCAGGCCGAGGAGGGAGCCGCCGCCGCCGCCGCTCCCGCCCACCATCAGCATCACCACCGCAACTGGCTCAGGATCCAGTGGCAGCACGTCCAGGTCGGCGACGTCGTCCGCCTGCACCGGGACGACCCCATCCCCGCCGACATCGCCCTCCTGCACGCCACCGGACCCAACGGCATCGCCTACATCGACACCATGGCCCTGGACGGCGAGACCAACCTGAAGAGCAAGCAGGCCTGCCCCCTCTTCCTCGACCGGTGCGCCACCATGGACGGGCTCAGGTCGACCAAGGCCACCGTCGTGTCCGAGGACCCCAACATCGACCTGTACAGCTACGAGGGGAAGGCCACCGTCGACGGCGAGACGCTGCCGCTGACCATGAACAACGTCGTCTACCGGGGATCGACCCTGCGCAACACCACCATGGCCATCGGCCTCGTCATCAACTCGGGCGAGGAGTGCAAGATCCGCATGAACGCCAACAAGGACGCCAAGGCCAAGAAGCCGCGCATGCAGTCGTCGGTCAACCGGATGATACTCGTCCAGATCGTCTTCATGCTCGCCCTCTCCGCCGGCCTCACCGGCGGCTACTACCTGTGGAAGGATCCGACCGAGGACCGCTCGTTCTACCTCGACGACGCCAGCGTCTCGTTCGGCCGCATCTTCTTCGGCTACATCGTCATGTTCAACGTCCTCATCCCCATCTCGCTCTACATCAGCCTCGAGATCGTCAAGGTCGGCCAGTACCTCCTCCTGCAGGACGCCGACATGTACGATCCCATCTCCGACACCCCCGCCGTCGTCAACACCACCACCATACTCGAGAACCTGGGCCAGGTCGAGTACGTCTTCTCCGACAAGACCGGCACCCTGACCGAGAACGTCATGCGCTTCCGCAAGATGAGCGTCGTCGGCCTGCCCTTCCTGCACGACATGAACGAGAGGAGGGACCGGGAGGCCAGGCAGAGGCAGATCGAGTCGACCCAGCGCCCCCGCGACCGCTACGACCTGACCACCTGGAAGGGGCGCAGCATGGCCGCCATCTCCTGGACCGTCCACAAGATCGACCGCATCATCCAGGAGAAGGGCTACGACGAGCGCGTCAAGGAGGAGGCCCAGCGAGCCGCCGCCGCCGCCGCCGCCACCGCCACCGAGGAAGAGGAGGACGCCATCGCGCGGGCCGACAGCCGTCCGTCCGACGGTACACCCGGTGCACCCGCTCCCGAACCCCAGCTCAGGACCGAGGACCTGCTCGACATCCTGCAGCGCAAGCCCAACTCGCCCTTCGCCCGCAAGGCCAAGCACTTCCTCCTCTGCATCGCCCTCTGCCACACCTGCCTCCCCGAGCTGAAGGAGGACGGCCGGCTCGAGTACCAGGCCGCCAACCCGGACGAGCTCGCCCTGGTCGAGGCCGCCCGCGACCTGGGCCTCATCGTCGTCGACCGGCCCGTCAACGCCATCAAGCTGCAGACCACCGACCCGGACACGGGCGCCACCAAGGTGGAGACGTACGAGGTGCTCGACGTCATCGAGTTCAGCAGCAAGCGCAAGCGCATGTCCATCATCGTCCGCATGCCCGACGGCCGCATCTGCGTCATCTGCAAGGGCGCCGACAACGTCATCCGCGAGCGGCTCAAGCTGCGGAGCATTGCCGAGCAGAAGGCCGAAGACGTCAGCCGCGCCGCCGACCTGCGCAGGAGCGTCGAGCAGGAGAGGGCGCTCCAGCGACGCAGCTTCCAGGGCGCCGCCGCCGGCGACGGCGGGCTCGGATCCGCCTCCAGGAGGAGCAGCCTGGCCCTCAGCCGCCGCAACTCGTACAACCCCTACGACGGCAGGAGGCTCGCCGGCGGCCCGCGGCTCTCGTCCGACATGATGAGGCTCTCCAGGCCGGACGACCTCGCGGCCTGGGTGAGGATGCGCGAAGACGACGGCGCCGCCGAGCGGAGCGGCAGCCCGCGCGCATCCCTAGACGTCCGCGGCCGCAGCCCCCGCGCGTCGGTGGACGTGCGCGGAGGCGCGGGCTCGCGGGGAGTTTCCAGGTCCCCGGCCCTCTCCCGCCAGAACAGCATCGACCAGACGGTCGACGAGAGCGCCATCCTGTCGGACGGGGCCGTATTCGAGCGGTGCTTCCAGCAGGTGGACGACTTCGCCAGCGAGGGGCTGCGCACGCTGCTCTACGGGTTCCGGTACGTCGACGAGCCGTCGTACGCGGAGTGGAAGGAGGTCTACCACGAGGCCGAGACGAGCCTGGTGGACCGGCGGGCGCGCATGGAGGAGGCCAGCGACCTGATCGAGCAGAACCTCGACCTCGTCGGCGCCACGGCCATCGAGGACAAGCTCCAGGACGGCGTCCCGGACACGATCGACAAGCTGCGCCGGGCGAACATCAAGGTCTGGATGCTGACGGGCGACAAGCGCGAGACGGCCATCAACATCGCGCACTCGGCCCGGCTCTGCAAGCCGTACTCGTCCATCTTCATCCTGGACGCCGCGGCGCCGACCGACCTCGAGTCCTCGCTCAGGGACGTGGTCGAGCAGCTCCGACGGGGCGAGGGCAGCATCCCGCACAGCGTCCTGGTGGTGGACGGGCAGACGCTGGCGGCCATCGACGAGAGCGAGAGCATGTCGCCCCTGTTCTACGAGCTGGTGGTGCTCGTGTCGTCGGTCATCTGCTGCCGGGCGTCGCCGTCGCAGAAGGCGGACCTGGTCCAGTCGATCCGGACGCACGTGCCGGACACGATGACGCTGGCGGTCGGCGACGGCGCCAACGACATCGGCATGATACTCGCCTCGCAGGTGGGCATCGGCATCTCCGGGCGCGAGGGGCTGCAGGCGGCGCGCATCTCGGACTTCTCCGTCGCGCAGTTCCGCTTCCTGCAGAAGCTGATACTGGTGCACGGACGGTGGAACTACCTCCGGACGGGACGGTACATCCTCGCCACCTTCTGGAAGGAGACCTTCTTCTACCTGGTGCAGGCGCACTTCCAGCGGTACAACGGCTACACCGGCACGTCGCTCTACGAGTCGTGGAGCCTGACCGTCTTCAACGTCCTGTTCACGTCGCTGGCCGTCATCGTCCCGGGCATCTTCGAGCAGGACCTCTCGGCCGACACGCTCCTGAGCGTGCCGGAGCTGTACACCTTTGGCCAGAAGAACCTGGGCTTCAACCCGGGCATGTACCTAGGCTGGGTAGTCATGGGATGCCTGGGTAGCGTCATCAGCTGGTATCCTACCTGGACGTTTTACAAGAAGATGCGGTCTACGGACGATACCAGCCTCTATGCTATGGGGGCTGTCTGCTTTACCGTCGGTGTCATGTTTATTAACATTAAGCTGATGTATGTTTGATCTCTCTCTCCTCTCTTCTCTGTCTTCCTACTCCTCCCCCCCCCCTCTTCTTTATCCTCTGGTTTCTCTTCAACCCTCTATTTAACTCTTGTTGTCCTTCCTTCCTCTGTTCCGCCCTTTTTTCTTTTCATTTTTCATTCCCCCCTCTTATTCCCTACTCTTCTTCTTCTTTCGTACTCATCATTCATTACTTGCTTGATCCTTTCTTAACTGACCTGACCCCTCCTCTCTCAAAAAAAAAGGCTCCTTGAAATGCATACAAAAACCGCCGTCGTGGCAGGAGCTTTCATCATAACAGTAGGTGGATGGTTCATGTGGCTGAGCTGCCTGTCCGAGACTTTCGAACCCCTGATGGACACGTACCTCGTATCAGATACCTTCGTCCACAACTTTGGCGACACCCTGATCTGGTGGACCCTCGTCCTGCTCGGCCTGACGTGTCTGCTCGTCCTCGAGCTGGTCGTCCAGGCCATAAGACGGATATACTTCCCCACCGATGTCGACATCATGCAGCGGATCGAGAAGACGCAGAGGAAGAAGGGGGTCAGCGTATGTGGTGCTGCCGTCGCCGATGAAGAGCCGGAGGATGGTGCGGCAGCGTTCAAGCCTGAAGATGAGGATCTCGAACTGCAGAAGATTGCTAATCCGGGGGGGGATCCTGCGCCGCTGCAACATCAGACTACCTTGCAGATTCCCGAGCATCGACACGGTTGATTTCTCTTACTCTCTGATATTCTCCCCCCCCCCTTCTCTCTCTCTCTCTCTCTCTCTCTTTCTCCTTTTCTTTTCTCCAACTTTCTCTCTCTTCCTCTTTCTAACTCTCTCTTACACACTTTTCCTTACTTTTTTTCGTGTCCCCAAGTTTTGTTGATTTATATTCTGATATTCATATTGGAATGATACCCTGCTGTCTCTTGCCTAACCTTCTTCTCTTGTCTTGTCTTTTCTCGCTTCTTTTCTTCTCGTCCCTGTACATGTTTATGCTTTCTCTCTCTCTCTCTCTCTCCCATCTTCTATATCCATGTCAATCTGGCAATTGTCTGACAATCTGACATTCTTCTCTTTGCATATGATGCTTACTTTCCAATGAGGGACGGTTTTGAATATATTTGGATATAGTTTTAAATAATGTATATTTTGGTACTTTTGAATATATATATTGTATAGAATACACGTGGGGTGCATGTATCGACAAGGGAGGTGTAGACGTCGTGACTAGGAACACAACGTCATGTTAAAGCCAACGAACAACACATCAGCATCAACATGTCTGTCTATACATCGACCGTCACTGCATATGCAGATTCATCGTGAAGGGATATTGTTCGGTCAAGTCCTGATGTCGTGAATGGGACAGAGGATTGCAAGAGAAGTATGATAGAGGAGAAAAGAAACAAGGAAAAATCGACCAAAGGAGAGGACCCAGGCACATGACACGCAGCACTTATCCTCTCACTTGGCAGCATCCTTCTCATTCGACACACTGGCACTCAGATGGTCGGTCCCACGCTTCGGATCGACGACATCCACATGGTCAGACTCGAGACGGGCGGCCCCGTGCTCCAAGGCGACGTTCCGCTCCATCTCCTCCTGGTCGGCCTCGACCTGGGCCCCAAAGTGGAACTTGCCCTCTCCCCTGCGCGCGGGCGGGATGAAGACGTCGTACCACTTGGGGAGGATGAAGCCGCACAGGATGAGGACGATGCCGATGTGGGCGACGCCGAAGCCCAAGACGTGGAGGGGGTCGTTGCGCAGCTGGTAGAACGCAGGGTAGGAGAAGCTGAAGACGATGGCCAGCGCCGGCGCGGCAATGTACCGCACCAGAGGGGACCAGAAGACGGGGATCTTCCAGTTCTTGCCCTGGCCTACGATGAGGTTGAGGTCGTCCCGGAGTTGGTTTCCCTACGATATTAAACAGGTCAGGAATGGGTTTGAGAGGGAGAGAGAGGGAGAGAGGGAGATTGAAAAAAAATAGGAAAGAAAAAAAGAAAAAAGAAAAGGGAAAAGAAAGCTTACAGAGTAAAATGCCATGTACCAGAAGCGAGAGGTAAAGACATTCTTGGACCAGAAACTAGGAGCACGTGTCTCGGGAGTCTTGGATATCAAGACGGCAACGGCGGTGGAGACGATGAAAATGCCGAATCCGACGCCGGCGCCGGCGTCGGGACCGACGGACTGACCGACGGCTACGCCGATGACCTGGCCGCCAAAGAAGCCAAAGTTGTAGACGGAGAAGGCGGGGAGGCCGACCTGGTCGACGATGTCGTGCCAGCGGTAGACGGTGGTGGAGCAGACGCACTCGGCCCAGACGACGAAGACGAGGGCGACGTCGTTGATCCAGCGGTCGATGCCGGTCAGGAGGTAGTAGCCGAACTGGGCGCAGTAGGGGAGGGACAGGAGGAAGGACAGGACGACGGCCGAGGTGACGACGGCGGTGCGGTTCCACCTGGGCTTGGCGTCGGTGACGAGGGTGACGACGGCGTCGAGCATGGCAAAGGCCGAGCTGTAGCCGAGGACCATGAGGGTGAAGAAGAGCATGACAGCCCAGAAGTTGGCGGCCGGCATCTTGGCCACGGCCTCGGGCAGGGTGAGGAAGCCGACGGTGAAGCTGCCCAGGCGCTCGGCCGGGTCCGGGTGCATGCCGAGGAAGCCGACGACGCCGAAGACGGCGAAGGCGGCGGCGTTCTCGAAGATGACGTTGCTGCTGACGACCAGGATGGAGTCGACCACGGCGTTGGAGTGCTTGCGGTTGTACGAGGCGTACGAGGTGAAGTAGCCGAAGCCGACGCCGGTGGAGAAGAAGACCTGGCCCATGGCCGTCTGCCAGAGCTGGCCGTCGGTGAGGGCGCCGCTCCTCCAGGTGGCGAAGTAGAGCTTGACGCCGTCGGCGGCGTTGGGGAGCGAGCACGACCGGCCGATGAGGATGATGACGATGCAGATGGGCAGGCCCATGGTGAAGTAGACGACGCGACCAGTCAGGCCGCAGCCGCGGAAGATGGAGATCCAGACGAGGAACCAGGTGAAGGCCGTCCAGCCGACGGTCTCGCCCAGGAGGTCGGTGCCGACGTAGCGGACCCAGCTGACGATGCCGCTGCCGTCGCGGCTGAGCTCGCCGGGCACGGGGAGCGGCGTCATGGCCACGACGTCCTCGTAGAAGGCCGTCGCCCGGCCGGCCCAGGGCAGCGGGCTGGTGAAGGAGTTGCGGAAGTAGATCATGATCCAGGCGAGGTTGGCGACGAAGTACGGCCCGACGACGAAGCCGATGTACAGCATGGCCAGGCCGGTGCCCTTTGTCCGGTGGTTCAGGCTGTTGAAGGCCACCACGGACCCGCCCCGGTAGGCGTTGCCGATGGCGATCTCGAGGATGAGGACGGGTATGGCGATGAGGAAGACGCACAGGAGGTACGGTATGTACCACTGCAGCCCGTAGTTGTTGTACACGACCGACGGGTAGCGCAGCAGGTTGCCCATGCCGGCGCACCCACCCATGCAGGCCAGCACAAACGACGCCCGCGACGGCCACTGGTCGCGTCCGTCGTCGGCCTTGCTCGGCGGCGGCGCCAGGTAGTTGACCACGGCCCTGGCCACGCCCGTCGGCCCCAGCTCGGCCATGCGCCTCGGCGCCCCGGCGATGCTCCTCGGCACACCGGCCAGGCCTCTGCCAAAGCTACGGACAGCTTCCATCGTCCACAGACGGCTTCGGTCTCACGCTTCTCGTCTATGCGTACCGGGTCGTTGAAGAGCAAGATGACACCCGATGTAGCTCGGCACCGGGAGAGAGGGGTGGGAAGAGAGGGAGAGAAGGAGAGGGAGAAGGAGAGGAAAGAGGAGAGGGAGGAGAAGAAGGAAGAGTCATATATAGGAAAGAGGACATGCGATGGACGACCAGGCAATGCCAAGGTTATGATGGTGCCTGCATCATCACCTAACCAGGCAGTATCGACTCCCGGTGGAACCAAGACTACGACGTTGGACGTGGTGACGGTACTTACTGCCACCACTCTTCCCTACGAGTACAGCAGATCTGTACGTATGATGATGTTGTGAAAAAGAGTAGGACGATGGCACAATCCATGCCAAGGATGACGCCGTCCTAGAAGCCAATACACCGTTATCCGTACCTCTCTCTCTCTCACACACACACACTCTCTCTCTCTCACTTCTAGACGCCGGAGTGAACTGTAGAGCGCGGCATGGTCAAAACTCTGCGCGGGTTCGCCTAGGCCCCTAGCGACACGATGGGAACGAGATGCGCGCTAGGACGGTTGATGCATGGCACTCGGAATCCATCGTGGGGGATGGGAGATTGCATACAGTACGAGTTGTGGACGGGCTGTCATTGGGGCTCGGTCTTTTTGGCTTGCAAGGGGGTGTGGGGGAGCACGGGAGTCGGTGATGCCGTTTCTGGTCCTTTCTTGACTCTTTTTTTTTTAAAAAAAAAAAAAACTTGTACTATCATTTCATAAACCATTAGTGCGGGGAGGAGTATCTATGAGAGTATCAGTAGGTGGTAGGTAACTTGTCTGGTCTTCTCAACCTGCTACCCTCTTTCATCTGTGAGTTGACGATTCTCTTGTCAATACACACACACACACATATATATATATTATATATACATACGTATACATACATGCATACATACATACATACATATACATACATACATATATATACATACATACATACGTATACATACATACATATATATACATACATACATACATACATACATATAGGCATATATAAATCACAGTCAACTCTTACTTGCACAGTCAACCAATTCTTGCTCATGAGCATTCTTGACCAGGTCAGCCGTCCATATCCTCATGGTAAGCTGACATGTATAATACAAGTCATATACATATCATCTGTACATGGGTATCACTTCAGAACGAACCCACATTAAACCCCCTCGGGAGCCAGCACGCCATCATTGACGAATCGCGATGGGGCCATGTCTCTCAAGGTAAAAAAGAAGCATATTTATGCTTAAACATGCTTCCCCCCCCTCCCACATGTCACTGGCCATGATTCGTCTCATGGGCCTATTTCTATCCAAAGAAAACCTTGACTCTGACCTTGAAGATTCGACAAGAGGGACGGTCAAGGAAAGAGAAGAGACAGTCATCAACAGCAGCGACAGCAATAGCAATGGCAACGACATACACAGCAGTGTATTGTACATACAAGTTGCAAGGCAAGAGAGACACTTCGAAAAGAAGAGAGGAAAAAAGAGCAAAAAACCACTTCGTACCATTCATGGTATTATTCAACTATTTCTCGTCAAGATTTTTTTTTAAAATTTTTTTTTTGTTCTTTTAAAGCAAGAAAAAAAAAAGTCTATACCGTGTCTCGCCCACGGTATAGACCAAAATCCATCTCCCGACTTCTACCCCCTTCAACCAACCACATCTCCCGCCAAGCCTCATCCTTTTTAAACCCTCATCCTCATCGATCCTACTCGTATTACCGTTTGCTTGCAAGCATCAGTGCGGATAAATCTTCAGAAGAGGGTCCTCTCTTGCATCAGAGATAATTCAAGCCATCACTCACCACTTTGCTTCTCCTTCAGATAAATATAACTACTCCGTACATCACTCATCTTGATCACCAGCACACGAAACAACATGTCCGGATTTCTCTGCTCTCCGACCAAATGGCTGAGCCGTTCCCCCCCCCCCCCCCCCCCCCCCCCCCCCCCCCCCCCCCCCCCCCCCCCCCCCCCCCCCCCCCCCCCCCCCCCCCCCCCCCCCCTTCTCTCTCTCTCTAAAAAAAAAGGCATCTTTCTTTTGAAGAGAGCTACTACCTACGTCGTCGTATTAGCAGATACTGTCCATCCACACACCCTCTATTCTCTCCCCCCTCCTTAAGCGGTGAGGGATGAGGGATGAGGCAGCTTCAATCTCAACTGCGAGGTCTCTCCCTGGTCACGCCGTGCTCATCGTCGGCCCCCTAGACCATCTTTGTCTGAAGCCTCTGCTTCTCCTCGCGGAGACCCCGAAGCTGCCCTTCAAAGTCCTTGTTCACCCATTCCCAGTATGACGTCCACGTCCCCGCCGCCCCCGCGTTGCTCGTCGCCGCACCGGCGTTGCCCGTCAGCGCCTTCATCCGGTCCCCGAGGAGGAGCGTCACCCGCAGCACGCTCTTGTTGGCTTCTTCCTGCTTCTCAATCTCCTGCTTGACCGCGTTCTCCTTGAGCTTCACCGACAGGACGGACCGGTACGCCTCGGCAATAGAGTCTAGACGACGCGCCGTCTCGTCGGGGTCGATCACCATCAGCTTTGTGATCATCAGGTTGCACAGCTGCCTGATGTCGTTGTCATCCCTGAGGCCCGCCACGATCCGGTCGTAGAAGTCGATATTGCTGATCCGGCTGAATGCCGTCTCCATGAGAGCGTAGAGGGTCTCGTACGCGCTCTATGTGATTTGAATCCCATCGTTAGCTCTCGTCTACCCACCATCTCCACACATGCTATACCGTACACACACACACACACACACAACCGCTCCTGAAGGAGAGCCACGTCCCGGACGTACCTTGCGAACTTCGAGCCCGTCATCCACAGTGTGCGTGAACGGACCCAGCTTGACCTCGCGCACGAGCTCAGGCTTGACCACCGACTCGGTCAGGACAAACGGAACCAGCTGGCCCAGCTGAGGCAGGATGAGGTCTGGCTTGTTGTGCGCTGCCGAGTTCAGCGTCGTCATGGCCAGTCGGCGGATCTCCATGTCCTGATCCTGGAGCATCACCAGGAGCATCTCCACCAGCACGTTGCGTAGCATGGCGTCAAACGTCTCATCGCTCTCCGGCAGCGAGTACCTGATGGCCTGCACCGCCATGCCTCGGACACCTTGCGACTTGACCGACAGAAGTTTCTGGGCACGCGGAGTCCAATATCAGCATCTCGATTCCATAGTAAGCAGTTGGGGGGGGGGGGGGGGGATGTAGTGTGACTCTCCTTTCGCTCCCCGACCTCACTCACCTGTAGCTGTGGCATAAATTCTGTAGGGCTGAGGATGACCAGCCGTCCTGCGCACTCGGCACAGCCCACCTTGTTGTCGGCATTCTCCGACGCCTCCATCAGCTTGGCCCAGATCTTGGGAGCGTAGCCCTCGAGCTCGGTGGTCATGGCCGATATGGACTGCAGGACCTCCTTCAACGACTGCACCAGCAGGTACTGCGTGTGACCCCCCTTGCTCATCCTCTCCAGTATCACCGGGAGGTACCTTGCAACGTTCCCGGAACCCGCCCTGCCGAGGGCCACCGCCGCCGAGAGGGAAACCTTGTCCGGCTCTTGGCGGAACTGGCCGAGGAAGGTGTCGGGGCTGAGCGGCGACGCGGTGCCCAGCCCCTTGCCGGCCTCTCCGAGAACAGCCAGGGCCAGGCTCGTGCGCGCCTCGTCTCCCGACTTGGCGCTCTTCTCGAGCTCGGTGACGAAGCTGTCAATCGTCACGCCCACCGAATCTCCGCTGCTGACCAGCAGGGTTCCGATGATCTTGCCCACGACAACCGGATCACCGTCGACGCTGACGTCACTGAGCAGGCCCTTCATGAGCTTGCCGCCTGCCGACGTCTTTCCAGCGCTGGTAACCAGGTTGATCATGGGGTCCAGCACGAGACTGGCGAAGTGAGTCTTGAGGAGAGCACAGACGGCACCGATCATCTCCTGGGACATGACCAGCTCGGGATGGCTTGGAAGAAGGCTGGCGAGGATGGCGAGAGACGGCCCGAGGAGGTGCGTGTCGTTGTTCGTTATGGCCGGCATCAGCGCCGAGACGACCCCTTCGATAGTGGCCGGCTCCAGCTTGTCCTTGGAAGCGGGGGAGAGCGCGAGGTGTTTCAGAGCCATGATGCTGGACCCGCGAAGGGACCTGTTAGCCTTCCGCAGCTGCGCCGCCAGCTCCGTGGCCACGTCCTGGACCCAGTCCTTGTCCAGCTGCTCGGGGGAGTGGGCCGACGCGGCCACGGCGTCAACGGCCCGTACCGCTGCCAGGCGCGTCGTCTCGTTCTTGAGTCTGTCGCGGAGGAGGTTGAGGGCCGCCTCGCGCTTATCCGAGGGTAGAAGCTCAGAGGCATCGGCCGACAGCGTCCGCGAGATGACTACGCCGAGAGCGTGGATTGCGCGCTGGCGGACCTCGGCATCCGTGTCGTTGGCCTTTGCACGGTCCACCACCACGTCGTACAGCTTGTTGAACTCGGCCTGTTGGCTCGATCCCGTGTTCTTTGCCCGCGGAGGGGTCATGGTCTTGACCAGCTCCTCCGCCGTGCGCACCGCCTCGCTGGAGATCTTGTAGAAACGATCATAGACGGCCGCCGTCACTCCCGCCACCATCCTTGCCACGTACGGCTGCAGAAACGCCGACGGGTGCGTCTTGGCCACATCGCTAATCAGCTGGAGGGCGGCAACCTTGAGGGTGGCCGGCGTGGCCGAGGCCGAGCCGCCGGATATACCCAGCGAGCTCACAGTCCCCGAGGCCGTTGACTTTACCGCGTCGATGACCGGGTCGATGATGTCTCCCAGATGGTCCGCCAGGCCGCCCCGCTGCACAGAGACCATGTCGTCCAACAGACCGATGACAGCCTGCTTCGTCGGGACGGACTTACCTTTGAGGTGCCTAGCGGCGACCTTGACGATAGAGGGCGTCAGCCGGGCCAGGTCAGCCTGAGGGCCCGTCTGGGGGATCTTGTCCATCTTGGGCGATAAGCCACCGACGGGCTCAGAGACGGTTCCGGCCGCGCTGCTCTGCCGGCGCCTCTTGCGGCTATTCGGAGCCTGGCTGACAGAGTCTGGCTCTATGCCATCCGGCGACAGCTCATGAGCGTGGATACCTTCCCCGGTCTTCCGTACGAGGAGGGCCAGGGCCGAGATGACTTCGAGGCGCACATTCTCCTCCCGCTCATCAATCCTCTTGATCAGATGCGGTGCGGCCCGGTTGTAGAGCACTCCGTTCTCAAGCAGGTCGCCGCTTCCGCGGGTGGCAACCAAGGTGTAGAGAGTCTTGGCGGCACATCTCCGAACCTTCCAGCTGGCATCGTCATCGTCGTCTTCAAAGCCGTCATCTTGGTCGAATTCGTCGTCCTCTTCCTGGTCGTCGCCGCCGCCGCCGTCGTCGTCGTCGTCCATGCCCACATCGTCGTCATCGTCGACAGCGTAGTTGGGGTCGTACCTGAGGTAACGAAGGCAGGAGGCGATCATCTCGTCTGTAAACTGCTTCGTGTCTTGTGGGCAGGAAGCCAAGAAGGCCTCGAGGGCAACCAGGGCCGCCTCTCGGACTTCGTTGAACTCTTGGCCCAGGTCGTCTCCGTCGCTGACCTTCTCCAGATGTGCCTGCAGCTCTGCGTCGGACAAGGCGTTCAAGACCACCGGGGTGGCCGTAGAGATGTGCGGAGCGAAGCGTGTGGGGATAGAGCGGGCCATGCTCCCCAGGATGGAGATGTAAAGCCTGCGGGTGACGGGGTTTAGGCTGCCGCTCGAGAGGCTGGCAGTGATCCGCTGAACGACACCGTGCAAGTGCTCCTCGGAAAGATAGACGGCCAGCATGGCAATAGCCACGACGGCACGCTTCTTGACCACCGATGACCCCTTCTTGCTCTCGAGCATCTGGATGACGATCTCCTGCATGGCCTCGACCTCGACCTGGTCAAGCAGAGGTCCGAAGCAGCGAACAACCTCGATCATGACATCAACCGACTCGGAATTCAGGTCGCCCTCGTTCTGCAGCATCCCCTCGGGCACCGGTGGCAGCTCAATGCTTGTCGTCTTGGGGACCTTGGTCTTGGGACCGGGTCCAATCAGGCGGGGTATGAGGACACGGCTGACGGCACTGTAGGCATCCTGGACGTTTTGCGTCGTGGCAACTCCCGGCACCGGACGTGGCAGGGCAATTATGACAGTTCGCAGGGCCAGGGAAGGGATGGCGTTGTCGACCGAGTTCTTGAGCTTAAGCATCGACAGTTTCTCGATCATGGGGGCGATGATGGCAGACGGGATCCTCCCGACAAGAGGGGACAGGCTATCGGACACACAGGCTGTTCAGTATCTATCCGTACCCCTACGGATTCGAGGGATATCCGGCGGGGGAGGGCAGGAATCTGCTCACCACTTGACGGCCAGGTTCTGGACCTCTCCATTCTGGTCATCTAGGGCCTTGATGATGTTATCGACAGTGCGGGCAGCGACGTTGTAATCATGATGCAGGAAGTCGGGCTTAGAATTGTTCAGCAGCTGGACGAGGTCGTTGAGCGACATGAATCGAAAATCCGGATCGGCATCGTTCAGTCTGCTGACCAAGCTCATAACCGCCTGGGGCGTGACGGGTTGAGCTGATGCCATGACCAGCAACGGTCTCCAGGTAACGGCTAAGGCGGGGTTATTATCGTATGGACGGGATTATGCAGTACCATCAAGGTCAGAAGGGAGGTGTGAGGCGTGTGAAGATGAATAATCACAGACCTCCCGATTATCGATTCCTAGCAACTAAGAACAGAGCGATGATGGCTAGTATGAGGGCCAAAGGACGAGGACAAGAAAGATGACGGATCTTGGCTCATGATGGTGGGGGTTCGGTCGATACTGCTGGGTTAGCTGCGCGCCTATTGGCGGCTGAGAGAGCTGCCAGAGCTGTTGCCAAAGCGCCCAAGAAAGGGTCACTATGAGTAGTTGCCCCGCTATGGAAGGAGGTTCTCGGGGGTCCAGTTTATCCGGTCCGGTCACATCCTGAGTCTAGGGTAAATTTTTGTTTTTTGTTTCGAGTATATCTGTTGCACGCTCTCACTTCACCTCCTCCCATTCCTTCTCCTCCAAGGACGCATCGTCGTCACATGCATTAGGAGTCAACGAACCAAATAGCTGTGGGAGGCAATGTCCTCAAATGTATGTGTATGCGAGACCTTATCCCTGTGGGACCAGAGTAAACGCAGAGGATGCAATTCCCCAGTCTACTCCTCATGACTCTAAACTCAGCCAACTAGTGGATCACGATTTGCTTCACTCGCAAGATAACATCAAGAGGTGGGCCACTAGGCACATATTCATATGCCGAGGCAGGAGGATAATCTGATGGAAAGCTACCTACGACTCACATTGATCTAGAACGCACACCTCGCAAGCCTTCGCTGTTCATCTCTTTCCAAATCCCCATCCCCCCCCCTTGCCCTTCCGGGTCCCCACTGACGTCCCCAGTCGGCCCACCTCTGCCATTGTTATTGTTGGGGCAAGGCTGTCGGCTTGACATGTGTCTAGTCTTGAGCTCTTCTTCGAATTGAGACAGGCTGTTTTTGTCCCTTCGCGCAACTTCCTATATTATCCTGGCAGTCTTGAGATATGTTTCATCATAGATCAGATCAGCCCGAAGCCCGGGGAGACCCGGTGCGGTGAAAGACATTGAGTGCTCGCAGCCGAATGTACGCGCACGTACCTATCATCTATGACAGCACACAACAGCGACGCCACCCAATTACGGACTTGACGTACAGTGTTGCAGAACGGGGAAGCCACTACTCTCTAAGCAGAAGCTCAACGGCTGGTCTGCAAACGTCTACTGTATGGTGTTGGCATTGCGGGTTGGGTAGCAAGAGTTGCTGTGCGGTCAACCTGTATGATCCCTTGGCATTGTCGTCATCGGGCCGTGGAGCGGTTGACATTCAACTTGCACATCTCTCGCCCTTCGAGCATGAAGCCTTCTAGTTCCCCATCTTTTAGATGTTCCATCCGTACTACATGTCACAATGCCTCAGCCCTAGTGCGTCTTGCATTTCAAGACGAGCGGGATCAGCGAGTGACTTTGATGAAGCTTAAAGACACAAACACCGTGTCAGGGGAGATGATACCGAGGATAATAACGTGTAATATGTACAAAGTAGTGCGTGGATCGAGGAGACATCGCAAAGTAACACCCAAAAAGGCAGTGGGAAATACAAGTACCCCGCAGACCGGGACGACCAGCATCGACTCGTTACGGAACTTGGAGCTAGTCTCGAGACCTTGGAACCAAAGACTCCACATGGTTGCGAGGCTTTACTACATTTGTTTCTCTGGCCCCCCCCCCCCCTCGCCCTATGAGTATTATTAGCAGGTTTATATTGCTTTCCTGCTCTCTCTCTCTCTGCTCTCCCTCTCTCTCTTGCTCATTTGGTTGAGAATGCAGGGGCATGAAGACATGGAATAATGACGGCCCCCAACAGTTAATGACCGCGTCGACCCAAGTTGCGTGGCGAATAGGAGGACCGTCTCTCGTTGTGGAGCCGATGTTAATCGTAGACTTGAACTTGGGACGAGACAGAAACCGAACAGGACATTGAACATGGGAACCTCGGAAGACAACCAAGGGCAATGCCGAGACATGCAACCACGGGTCTGCGTGTCTCATCAGTATGCGAGCACGACGTACCCGATGTACGGATGATGATTGTAGTCAGACCGTGGAATAATTATGGCTCAAGTGTACCGAGTATAGCTAATAATGACCGTGATCAAGTGCCCAGAACTAATCCGTACATATAGGGCAACGTCGTCAACGCAGGGGTAAGAAGGACCGAAGTGGATCTGTTGCCTGATGCTATGAAGAGGATCTCCCCCCCCCTCCCCCCCCCGGCAGACGTCAATGGCCATCGAAGAGATGAAGAAGAAGATCGGGGCCTATCTGATATCATTATCGCTCCTTCTCTTCGCATGCCGAACGATCATATGTACATGTCGATCCTTAGGGTATATAAAGATACAAACCCTCGCCACCCCTTGCTAATTCGTCCTGAGCCTGTCTAATATATAATCATCTCTGTTTTCTTTGTTTCCTTTTTATTACTGAGGTGTGGCTACACCGACATACAGACAACGACAACGACAGCCTGCACCGAATATATATATATATATATATATATACATGTATACAACCCACCAAAGAAAAGAGGAATCTTGATATCAACTCGGACGAGTACACCGACTACACCCACCCACCCACACACACACACACACACACGCAAGTCGAGACGATTCCTTCCTCGAAAATGGCGACGACGGCCAAGATGAGGAATCCCAAGGACTCCATGAAGTCAGACTGGTACACAGCACTGCCCCGGGATCAGTGGACGTGGCACCACTGGTTCTACCACTATACGGGCGTGTACAAGGAGGGGGTGGAGACGCCGGTGCCGATATACCAGAAGACGGAGAGGGTCCCGTACGTGTCGGACTGGACGACGCACGGGTGGATCACCGCACACATTGCGACGACGATATTCCTGAACCACCTGTACGTGGTGTACACGGGACACAACCTGAGCGCGGTGGCTGCCTTCTTCTTCTACTCGCTGGCCTTCAAGATCACCGCCATCCACGAGATGCGTGCCCTCCGCTATGTCGGCCACATGACGGGGTACCTCGACGGGGACGCGCACGCGCGCGACGGCGTGCCCAACGTCGGCGTGGAGAAGGTGGTGTGGTCGCTGCTGTCGACGTCGACCTTCCGCCCCATCTTCACGCTCTTCCTGAGCTGGCGGACGGCACAGGCGCCCGCCGACGCCAACTGGCTGCTGGTACCGCTGGAGACGGGCTTGTACATTGTCACCCTCGACTTCTGGTTCTACTGGTACCACCGCCTGATGCACGAGGTCGACTGGCTGTGGAGGTTCCACCGCACCCACCACCTCACCAAGCATCCCAACCCGCTGCTCACCCTGTACGCCGACACCGTCCAGGAACTATTTGACGTCGCCGGGATCCCTCTCATGTCCTACTTCTCCCTCAAGGCCGTGGGCCTCCCCATGGGCTTTTACGAGTGGTGGTTCGCCCACCAGTTCGTCATGTTCACCGAGCTCGTCGGCCACAGCGGCCTCCGCATAGTCCTCTGGCCGCCAAACCCTCTCAACCCGCTCATCCGCCTCTTCGGCCTCGAGCTCATCATCGAGGACCACGATATCCACCACCGCAAAGGGTGGAAGAGGAGCGGGAACTACGGCAAGCAGACTCGCATCTGGGACTCGCTCTTTGGGACAAACCTCGGTCGCATCGAGTGCCAGGACAGCAACATCGACTGGAAGGGAGAGCCTGTCAGTATCCCTATGTTTTTCCGATCATTCACTTGATATCACATGTGCTCTTGTCTTGACAAGGGGAACGAAAAGCGGGACTCCTGGGTTTGGGGTATCATGGGCATGCCAAGAATTTGATGCTTTACGATTGCCAACGAAACTGTCTTGGTCTTTTACTTTTTATCATATCTCTCGTCTTCAAATAGTATGGATACCAACATGAGAACTATCATTCCTCCTCTATACCAGGCCACCCGAACTCATTGAATGCTAGTAAACGAACACAGTCATGCCGGAAGACATTGATATAGGGCAGGCATCACTATGCGCCTATACATCAGCCTGTAGAACTCGTACTCTATGTCATATAATATATGCCTACAGCTTCAACCTGATAGATCATATACACGTACTCGTAATATTACGTGTACTATTATTATAATACGATTGGCACGTATCTAAAGGTGCATATAAATATAAATATATATATATATATATACGTGCGTCATGTACAGGTACTCTATCGTGTAGAGTATACGGATAACAGATACAGGTACTCCTTAAGCGTATATACTCGATTGACTTTCAAAATGGAAGGGTTGTTCGTTCGACTCGGATGGCCTCTGAAACGCACAAAAGATATCATGACGTATCATAGACATTGGACCTGTCCGTCATCGATGCCAAAGTCGTGATCCGCCGACGCCGCGGCCGTCAATGCCGGTACCCCGCAATCTCCACAGATTGAACCCTGGCCAGCCGGCAAAATGTCCATCATGAATCAGTGCCGCGCGTGCATCATCCCGCCTCTTTCATCCTCACAAATCGCGATCCAATACGTATCACGCACAGGTGGGAAGATCTGGCATGACGGTCCATCCCCATGCCGCCGAATTCAATATCGAACCGGCCTAGTCCATCGGGAGTCCGCAAGCGCAGTACATACACGTCTGTGGCCTGGTTCGTCTCCTCCATCGCCCCTCCCATCTCAATCCGGGGGCTCGCCCGTGACGCGCGCGCCGAAGCAGTCGAAGTCTTCTCAATGGATCGGATCCAAGCAGTACTGATGAGAGAGGGAAACGCGCAGTGAGAAATGCCAGAAGCGAAAGATCAAATGCAGCGGGGAGCATCCCTGTTCACGATGCCGCGACAGCGACCTTGCATGCTCGTACCCTAGGACGACGCGATTTCGAAACACCACCCGACAAGAAGCGTGGCCTCGAACCTTGGCCTCGGCCTCGGTCTCGGCCGGGGCCGGGGCCGCACCGACGTCAAACGTGCTGGCCAGCGGCGCGGCAGAAGATGCGACATCGGCAGCGGCCGCATCAGCAGCGGCGTTCCCGTTGCGGAATAACGGCAGCGTACATAGGGGCTCGCGCCTCCTGGGGTGGTCCAACCCAGGCAGCTTCGACTACCTCATACGACTAGCCGAGAGCCGGCTGGCGGCCGAGAGTCCCGAGCAGAGCGCCCGACCGCGGCCGAACACCCGTCAGACGGTCCCGATATGGCCGGAGCAGCTGCGCGAGCTGGCCTCCCGTCGACGGTCGGGCGGCAGCGTGCTCGACGTGCTGGACATGAAGACGTGGACGGGCATACTGGAGACGTACCACGACGAGCTGGGGATGCAGTACCCGTTCCTCGACACTGAGGAGCTGGTGGGGAAGATCCAGGCCATGAGGGCGGGCAGGACGCAGGGCGCGGTCGACTACAGCCGCGCGGCCGACGTGGCCTGCGTGGTCGTGGGGCTCGTGTCGTGCATGGTGTCTGCCGGGTCGGCCGACGCCGCCAACCCGCTCGTGCACGACGTCTTCGGCGCCGCCATGGTGCGCGTGCACACCGAGCATGTTCACACCGACGACCTGGCCATGCTCATCCTCACGAGCCTCTTCTTCTTCCTCAGCGACCGCGAGGTCGAGGCCTGGCGCTGCATCGGCACCGTCATGCGCCTCGTCCACGAGCTGTGCCAGTACGGCTCCGACGACCAGCGCGTGTCCGACGCCCTGTACTGGTCCGTCTACACGCTCGAGAGGCGGTGGAGCTTCGGCACCGGCCTGCCGTTTGCCGTGCCCGACGCTGACGTCGAAACCGTGCGCCAGCTCTCGCCGCAGGACGACGCGTCGGACCTCGTGTCTGGCTACCTCAGGCAGATGGTCACATACTGCGCCATCTCGTCCGAGGTGCGCCGCAAATTCCTCGACCTGCCCTCTGCACCGGCACCGACATCGGCGTCGGCCTCCCACCCACCAAACAACAACCACGACTCGGTGCGCGACTGGTGCCATTTTCGCATCGTCCAGTGGCAGAACAACCTGCCCCGGCACCTGCGCTTCCGCGGCCCCGACGAGGACAAGTACGACAGCACCCTTGAGGGCCGAGGCGAGTACAAGCTCCGCCTGATGCTGTACCTCCGCGCCAACCAGATGCGCACGATAATTCTGCGAAAGTCGGCCATCATGTCCGCCGCCCCGCCCATCGTCGTAGACGAGGGTTCCACAACACACACCATGCTCGAGGCAGCGCGGGACTCGATCCGCCTGCTCGTATATCTGGGAAAGGAGACGGATATCTACGACGCCCAGCACCGCACCTTCAACACCTTCCTCGAGACGGCCCTGTCGTCTCTGCTGCTGGGGATCTGCTGCACCGGTCCTCGCAGCAGCAGAAACAACAGCAGAAACATAAGCAGCAGCAGCAGAAGAAGAAGAAGAAGAGGCAGCAGCAGCAGCAGCAGCAGCAGCAGCAGCAGCAGCAGCAGTCGCAGCAGCCCTCCCGTCTACCTGGACGCCGTGGTGGCGGCCATGGATCTGATCCGTCACCTGTCGCACAAGTCGCACATCACCAAGAAGCTACACGACAAGCTCAAGGTTATCCAGAAGTTCGTCGACAGCCTCAAGCCGTCGCAGCAGCAGCAGCAGCAATCCGCAGAGGAGATGCTGCCTCCAGCACCGTTGCCACAGACGCCAACCGACGGCATCAGCAATGCCCCCGCCCTGCAGAATCTGCTGTGCCCTGGGCCGGAACCGCCGAACAATAATGTCGACCCCGACAGTCGCGAGCAGCAGGCTGGTCCTGCCCTGGCCCCGGGACCGCTGTATGCGGGGCTCGAACCGCCCGCCGGTGCACAGACGGCCAACATGTCGTCCTTTTGGGTGCCACACGGTACCCCTGATGACTTTCGATTCATGGACGACGGGGGAGTGGCTACTGAGCTGCATATGCTGTCGGACCTGGACGAGTCGCGATTGCGAGAGCTCAATGATATCCTCATGGATTATGAAAACTTTAAATTCTAGGGGTTCGTTCTGATATGCATCGTTTTCCACGAAATCAATGATGAAGACGATTGGAGAGTCACATAAACAAGATGTCCCTAAAGGGTGCTGGCCGGCGCAAGCGTGCCATGCTGACCCAGGATGGCTGGCCCGTACGGAGAGCAGGATCTGGACCCCAAGTATAGGCGCTACTATTGACGCCTGAACGGGCAAGATGTCCTTCATCTCTCGCTGAGCGTCTAGTTTGTGTTCTGCCGTCTTGCTATGTACTTTTACCTTGTCAGGTCTCACTCAGAGCTACATCGGCCCGGTTGTTGGTCGGTTCGTGACATGATGGAACTGCGAATCGTGGCTGAAGAGATACTGACCCATCGTGGATGCAAATGGGATAGACAGGGTGGGAGGAAGATTGCTTACGCTCAATTGTAGCCCGTGGGCGGTGGCTACAATGTTGCCCAGGGAAACCTAGCTAGGCATTGATATTGGCCCTTGAATCCATCCATCCATCATCATTGTATACTCACGTTGTATGTATAATAGGCATGTATAATAGTGACTTTATCTTGGTGCGGTTCATTATTCTCAACAGACCTCGAAACAAGATTACCTTAATTCCCCTCCCTTTTCGCTTTCGCTTCCTCGGCTTCATGACTCTCCCCTTCCCTCCCCATATCCATTCATTCATTCATCGTATAACGGCCCAATGCCCCCGGAAACCGTCATACAAAGTCTGGTATTTGCTCTAAACTCCATCTGGGAAGCAACAGGAAACAGATAAGTAGCTAATTAAGGAAGAAATCAGGCCCCAGAACAAGAACAAAGGCAATCGCTTGTAAACACCGTTTGCTGCATCATCGACATCATCTACCAAGAGAGCCGTCCTATCAGAAGCTATTGGTGGGATTCTCACCGGAAGTGGGCAGAGGCGTCGGGCCGTCGACAAGTAGCCATCTTCCTCGATTCCATCGAGGAAGGGAGCAACGACTGATACACATCCGTCACTGTCGACACACCTTCGCCACTACCTCTCCGCTACCTCATTGACACTTAGCGGACCCTGTCACCTACCTTACTCCCCCCCTTACTTCAACCAGACTCGTTGTCTGGAGCGCCCCTCCGACGATACATAGGCATGTAAAAAGCTTGTCGGCTCTCTCAAGCCAAGCAGGTTTCGTGTACCGTCTTCTTCCTAAAAGAAGAAGAAGAAGAATAAAATTAAAAAGAAGGCAGCGTATAAAGCGACAAAAGTACAGAAATGAGACAGAGAGAAATTCGGGCGGGAGATCATTGGCTAGCAAACAATGCCTCGAGGGCACGTCTCCTCTCTTCATTTTTGGCAAGCTTCTCCTCTTCCGAGAGGTGCTCGTACGCGGCGACATTCTCATCCCACTGACGCACGCACTCAGCATTCCAGTTGCACTCTTCAACCTGTCCGTAGGCCGGGTGGTAGTAGCGCGGGTGCTTGCTGGGCCAGTCGGATGCGTGGTAGTGGTGCTGGACGAGGGCGTTGCGCGACTGGTGATTTCCCGAGTCCGAGTGGCCTTGGCCTGCGCAGAATGCCTCGACGGTGAGGACGAGGACTCGCCCGACCACCTTTGATTCTGTCATGCCGTGGAAGTCGTCCCATGTGACCTTCTTGCCACGCGGGGACTTCCTGTTCATCTCGGCCATGACGGCCCGGGTAAAGGCTGAGGGACCGGTGCCTGTAATGACCTCGTCAAAGGTGAGCTCAACCTCGCTGATGGGCTTTCCCTGCTTCTGAGCCATCCCCTCCATCCAGGCCATGATGTCCTCTATCAGACGCATCATGACGGGATGGCGGGGTCGCGAGATGATGGTCCACTGGCAAAAGGACTGCGACTTCTGCCCGAGGATGGGGTGGTCGCGGAACCCCGGCTCGTCGACCTCGATGCCGATGATGAGGTCAAAATCATTCTCGTCGTGCGCGTTCGGTAGGAAGCGTTCAAATGGCCTCAGGGCCTGGACGTCAATGTCGGCGTAGATGCCGCCCTCGGCGTACATGACCATGTAGCGCAGCAGGTCGGCCTTGACAATCTGCAGCTTGAGGCTCCGGTAGAAATCGACGATGTCTTGGCGGTCTAGGCCTTGAGGCCCGAAGTGCTGCTCAACGAAGGACATCTCGTTGCTGTCGGTGATGACCTCGTAGCGCATCTGCGGGTTGAGCCTGAACCACGACATGGCCCGGACCGTGTCGCGCACGCCAAACATGAGGGGCTCCGTCTTCCACGTCTGCCAGATCTTTCTGGGAAAGGTGTGTCCGCGCTGAAGAGAGTGGGACACAGGCTTCTCGCGACGGTGCAGATTCGAGGAGCTTGGTAGGGAGTAGAGGACGTCAAGGTTGAGCATGAGCGCCAGGAAGAGGACGCAGCCCAGGTATAGAGGCAAGCACCTCTTGACCCGCGTGGGCACCCTGTTTCTGAAGGCGGCCTTTGAAGCCGCCAATCTTGGTGACGCTAGCGGGGAGTCGAGCATGATGGCGACAGCGATGAGCACACCGTCAAGGTCTTTACGCTTTCAGAAAGGTCTGAGGTGCGTGTGTGTGTCTGTGCGTGTGTGTATGTGTGCTGCGTTAAGGCCCGAAAGGTTGAAGGGTTGTTGCAGATGGGGCGGTCAAGCAGATGGTGCATTATACGAATGTGGACGTTTACGGTCAACAAAACACACGAGGTGTCGTGACGGAACGTAGACAATGGGTAAATACGATGTAGACAGAGTATTATGGAGGTTTGAGTAACACGTATGGGGAAAAAGGAAAAAAGAAAGAAAAAAAAGGGGAGGGGGGAGGGAGGAAGGAGATAGTTGGGGGAGGAGCGAGGCGTCTCCTTCTACAGTAAGACGCGGAGAAGGTGCGAGCGAAGAGAAGTACGACAGAGATTGAAGCTGTACGAGACTTCTGGGACCGACCCGGATTCTTCCATGGATAAGGTTGGGCAACAGCGATTCACGAAGGTGACTTCCTAATTCCTCTGAGGGGGACCTTTCCAACCAGCTTCTCCAGTATCAATCGTATGTGTATGCATGGGAATTAGTAGCATCGGGTATAGCAATGGTAAAAGGGGGGAGAGGGGGGGGAGCTAGGGATGTTGGGAAGTGCCTAGTTTCGAGAGACCTGGGGAAAAGGTACCAGTCAGCTCGATTGATGGCATCAGTTTCCGTGGCCAAGGTTTACATCTGATACCTGGACAGCAAGTAGTGGAAGCATGTTGGGAAGGTTATTGTTTCGGGAGGAGTGGTCTCTTTTTTTTCTTCTTCTTTTTTCCCCCGCCGTTTTTGCTCTACCGCTTGCTAGCTCCCGCTCCTCTCCTCATGATGAACAGGAAGGGGATAAAAAAAAGACTCGGTGCTATTCGGCCAGTTGTCGCATGTGATACGCACCGGTCCTCGGCAGTAGACTGGATGCATGCAAACGCAACGGTGGCATCGCGGGGTTGCCTTCGCTCATCGCCTCGGCCCTAGACCCAACGTAGCATGGTATATGTTGCATGCAGATCTCTCTCCTGCGCATGGCGCTATCACACGAACCATGGTGTACGAGTAGGTCCAGCTGGTTGGTTCCGGTTAGTCGCCCAGACCGGCTTCTCTGCAAGTGTCATGGTCTTGCTGCTGCTGCTGCTGCTGCTGCTGCTGTTGTTGTTGTTGTTGTCTTAATGGTTGTCAAGATTCGACGTTCCATAAGGGTAGTAATGATCGAAATCTCAATGTATGATCAATCATCTCCTTCCAACGTCCAATAGTAGTCAACGGTGACGCCGATGCCAGTTACTATCGTTACTATCGTTGGAATCAAAACGGCGTCCTTGTCACGGTCTTTTCTGAATGAATCGAAGAATAGACTCCACCGCAGAATAAATCAAGCCATGTACGCATAGGTGGCCGACAGCCACCATCACTCGGCCAGCTTACCGACTCGCCGACTTGCCAAACCCTCGCCCCCTTGCTTCATCCTCCCATCCCAACCGGACCCCCTTCCCCGGCCCTGTCAAGACAACTCCAGGGATTTCCATTTGGTGGAGATATCTCCATGTGGTCATCCATATTCACCTACATCACGTAGTGGGCGCGCTGCCATCCTTCTTGCTTAAGCGCCAAGCTGCTTTCTCCCCCGCATGAATCGGCATCCTCCGGACGGGGTGGGGAACGAGCTTGCAAGTTACAAACAAGGCAATCGTCCCAGAGTCCCAGAGCCCAGGGACTCGTACTCCGTATTAATAATACATGTAATCTGTACTCATAGTCTCTCGTACAGACTCCACCCTTGCAATGCATCCCCAGATTCGGGCTCCACTGACTCCCGTATTAGTCTGGAGGAGGAAGCTCCACCTCTGGCATCCTCATATCCCCGGAGGAGGGGGCCGTACTTCCGTATGGCAAGAGTGTCGAGATAAGTCAGTTGCTCGTCAAGGTTGGTCAGGGACATGGCATCGGTCACAAGTACCTGCACAGCACTCCTCCCTTCATGCGAGAGTAGCTACGAATCTAGGATCCTTCCTGTAAGCACCTACGTCATAGATGTATCCTCATAGATGACCGCAGACACACACATCCGTTATCTCTCATCATTCAGCTCTACCACAGTCTGACATAGAGATCAACATACTCGTCGCTCCGCTCCGACGAGACGAGAGAAGCTGATCAGGGCAAGTCAGAAACACAGGATTGAAGTACGTCTTGCTCGAATCGTGCGGGCGCCCAAGATCAGCATTGTGGATTGAAACTTGAAAAGTAATATAACTCCATTATAACTCCATGTACGAGTAATGCATATAGGCCCGAAGCATCCCTACCGTTTTTCCTCTCTCCCCCCCCCCCCCCCTCCCCCCTTTCAGGCTGTTCCCTCAATACCACGCTGGACGGGCATTGCTAAGTCTCCAACAGAAAGATGCCAACCACTAGCGTCCAATTCGCAATCGCCTCCCCTCCATCTCCTTCGCATGCTTTCTCCGACTTCTTGTCCCATGTCCTGATGTCACTTTTTTCTTTTCTTTTTTTCTTTGCTCGTGAAGCGGACCACAACATTGTCTTTCACCGGACTGGTCGCCAAACTTCCATCTGCCGCTAGTGGCCACCATTACCGTCATTCTGGCTTCAACGCTCGAAGAAGACGATAGAGATGAGCTTGTCCATTCACTGGGAATCTCTTCTCTCTTACCATTCCGTACGGAGAATCGGAGATACAACGAGGAGCATCTCGCTCCTCCCTTTGTAAGCCAATGACGCACAGAGACGACGCACCTTCCCTGGTGATCGCGGGGTAGCACTGCTTGTACGTAGTTCCGTGCTGTTGCGGGCAGGTACGGACGGCATTGAATCTGACTTGTGAAATCTTCTTTTGCTGCATGGTGAAGCGTGAGCCATCCCGTAACCTTCCCATCTCCCGACAAACTCGTCTACCTCCCTCCCCACCATCTCTTCTCTCCTCCTCCAACCCCCTCGGTCTATCACGTGTCAGCGCACAGAGCCATACTCAGACGCTCTGTCCTGATCGCCTCAAAACCATAACCGCTCCACGCCCTCATACTTGGCTCATCTGGGCGGTCAGAACCAAAGCGGCATTGAACATCTGTTATTCCTGCCTCCCTCTCTTTCTTCCTCCTGGTTGGGAGATCTAGAATACCTGTTGCTCGCCTCATACATGTGACCCACCATGCCGTCCCTGAACGAAGGAATCCTCGACTCCGGCACCTGGTCGGACGTGGGAGACGAGAAATCGATGCCCGCCCGGAGCAGGTGGCAGTCGTACGGAAACTTCACCTGGGTCACACACTCCGCGAGGAATTTTCTGAGTCGTTTCTGGCCATCTCGCTCATCCGCTTCAGCCAAGAACGTACATCCGACAGCCTACCTCGACGGTCTGCGAGGGTTTGCCGCCTTGCTCGTCTACTGGCACCACCACGAGCTCTGGTCGCATACGGGTCAGTCGGCCCTCTTTCAGGACGGATTCGGCCGCGATGGAGACTACAGGTTCGCGTCTATTCCGGGCGTCAGGACATTCTTCACCGGCGGGCACTACTCGGTGTCTACCTTCTTCGTCATCTCGGGCTACGTGCTGGCGCTGAAGCCCCTCAGCCTGTTCCTGGCCGGTAACAGGGTCGGCTTGGGTGATCACCTTGCGTCTTCCATCTTCCGCCGTTGGATACGCCTCTACCTTCCTCTCTTTGCCTCGGTCATGGTATATTCGATGAGCTGGCACATTCTGGGCATCTGGGTCCGCGCAGCACCTCAGCAGCCAACCTGGCGTGAGGAGCTCTGGGCGCTCTACACACAGGCCAAGAACTTTAGCTTCGTCTTCAATTCTGGCGGTGACCCTTGGCTGCACTACAACGTCCACCTCTGGTCGATTCCCTTGGAATTCAGGGGCTCCATGGTCATCTACGCCAGCATCCTGGCCTTCTCAAGATGCTCGGTCAGGAACTTCTTGTGGTGCTCGGTGGGCCTGCTCTTCTATTTCATGTACATTGTTGACGGATGGTACTGCGCCATGTTCATGTCGGGCCTCATCATCTGCCACCTGGACCTTCTCTCCGGCCAGGACGAGCTACCGTCGTTCCTGGCAAGGCTGGAGCCGTACAAGACGTTCATCTCGTACCATATGCTGGCCCTGAGCATCTACCTGGGCGGCGTGCCGAGCGAGAACAACGACGTCGACAACCTGGCCAAGAACCGTGGCTGGTACTACCTGTCATATCTCAAGCCTCAGGCTGTCTTTGACTACAAGTGGTTTTACCTATTCTGGGCAGCCACGCTCCTGGTGGCGTCAGTACCGCGCATCCGCTGGCTCAGGAGATTCTTCGAGACGTCGGCGTGCCAGTATCTGGGGCGCATCTCTTATGCGCTGTACTTGGTCCACGGGCCCGTCATCGCCGTTGTGGGCGACAGGCTATACCTGGCGGCCGGGTGGGAGCTCGAGGACGAGAGCAGGGCGAACATTCCCTGGTGGTTCAACAAGATGGCTCTCCCACGAAAGGGGCCCATGGGTCTCGAGCTGTCGTTTCTCCTGCCGCACATCATCCTCTTGCCGCTGACCATCTTCCTGGCCGAGCTGGTGACGAGGGGCATTGACGGGCCGAGTGTGAGGTTTGCGTCTTGGGTGTACCGCAGCGTTTCGTCGCCAGAGGCATCGCCCCGGAGGCCGAGTGCAAAGTCGCTGTTTGATGAGTTGCCAAGGGACGAAAACAAGCGGAGCTGATGCTTTAGAGTCGACTGGACAGGTGCATCATCACTTTGGCATTCGTGGCCTCTCTGCTTGAATGATTTTTCTCTTTTACATTACTAGTACTTCGTAGTACAGGGGAATAGTACATGTAATTTGATCATGCCCAATACCAATGTAACCAAATGAGCAGAGTATCTAGAAGTATTACACTGCCGAACGGAAAACCGGAATCATGCAGGAAAGAAGACAGAAGGATCCGAACTTGATACCCGTCCCTTTCCCCCATATTCAATCGACCCCATCGACCCCATGCACGAGACAGCCCATACGGATAAACGGTACCAGCAACCCCGACCCCGGATGCAACCATCTCGCTCACTAGCTGCCCGCTAGCCGCTTAGTGTTGAGCTCGTGAGATGCAAGATGCGGGAGAGGAAAAGAGAGGGGGGGGGCCTTCCTCAATGCGTAGCACTCCTCCACAAGACATTTTACATTTCCGTATCTACGAGGTACTACGAGATGCGATACGAGTAATGCTGTGACGATCAAAGGTTATTTGCATTGACCATCTTCCTTGTTTCTCATCATCTCTCCCACCTTCACTCCTCTTTCTGTCCGAACTTCCCCGCACCAACAAGAGGTGGTTGTTGATACGAGTTTAGAGTGATGATGGTGGTATAATACATGTATATACTCGTACCCTGACTGACTGACTATGCATGCATTATTATTGTATTATTGTTTAGTTTATTGGGGGGGGGAGGTAACCTCGGTGGCACATGATTTTTCTTTTTTTCTTTTCTTTCCTCTTCTTTTATCTTGTGATTGTAGATTTACATAAGCTGTGTTTTATTGGGTTTTTTTTTTGTTCTTTTTCTTCTCTTTCCTTTTCCCGAGCTTCTTCTCTGTCGTCTCTCCTCGATGCTGATCCATCATGATTCTCTTCCCCTATATTCAATCGTAGAGAAATGATGTTCGATCCCTCTTGATATCTGATCTGTATGTGAGGCAGTATCGATTATCACTGCTTCGTATCTTGACAAGGCCGCATCCTGATTAGAGGAGAAGTGGAGGGAAGGGGAAGAAGTAAATAACTTTTTTTTTTAAAAAAAAAGAAAACAGTGACGTATGCAAAGGCAAAGGGGAAAGAGGGGGGGGGGAGGTTGGAGATGGAGAGTGAGAGAGAGGACCAAGAAAGTAAAGCTCAGAAATCAGAAATCACTCCCAACTCTCTTCCTACCACTTTCCTTCTTTTGTAGAACTCCCACCACACACATGCTACTATTCTGACAACTTGCACAGCTTGTATCCCCGGACAAGATAAGATAAAAAAAACATGGGCAGAGATCTTCTACCATCATGATCATCAGAGATGTCAGGCGCGTGGCCATGGTGCTCGTGCCCGTCTTCATTCTCCTGTACGGCAGCTTCATCCTGCTGAACGATAAGACATTCCGGTCGGCCAGCACGACAGCATCCTGGCTAGGACACTCGGCCAAGAAGATCATCAAGGGTGCCGGCGGCGAGGGCGGCAGCAGCGACAGCAAGGACTATGTGCTGACCTCGTCGCCCGAATACCACGAGCTGTCTGCCATATCGACCCCCGACGGGAGCTTCTTCGCCGTCGACATGATGCCCCGCCACGCCATCAACCCCAACATCATACCTCACCCTCGGCTGATGGACACGTGGATCGTGGTGGCGCAGAGCGTCCGCGAGGACAACCTGGCCGCCTTCGTGGAGCTTGTGTGCAACGCGGCCTTCCGCGACGGCGCCCTGCGCTGCCTACAACCGGCGGCGCCGCTGCCCATCCGGCCCACGCAGGGCGGCCACCACTGCCAGGGGGACCTGGCGTACTTCAACCTCAATGTCGGGCCTCACGATGCCCGCGTCCTCGTCGGGCCGAAGAGGCCGTTTGTCGTCTTCGGGTCGAACTCAGTATACACCTGCTTCGGCCAGTTCATCCAGGACCTCGACGCGCTGGTGGAGCACGAGTGGGGGGGTGTCACCGGCGGCGACGGCGGCGACTACCGCGTGGCCACGGAGCTGCAGAGGCCGGGGCCGTGGAACTCGGTCGAGAAGAACTGGTTCCCCTTCTGGGACTCCAAGGACGAGCTGTACGTGCACTACGACATCAGCCCATCCCGGGCCTTTGCCCGGGTCTACCCCGACGGCTCGGCGGGGCCGAACCTGGCGGTCCTGTCGGCCGCATCCGACGCAGCCTGCATGCGGCGGTACATGCCCGCCCTGGGCGATGCGGCGCAGGGGGAGCCCCGGTCCCGGTCCCGATCCCAGTCGCTCCACCAGGCGACCAACTCGCTGCGCGTCACAATGTGCGAACGGCGGGGCAGCCCCTGCACACCCGACGACGACAACACGTACATCTTCGCAATCTACCAGCACAAGACCTTCCACAACCTCCACGCCGTGTACGAGCCTTTTGTCCTCATGTTCAGGCAGGTCCCGCCCTTTGACATGGTTGCCATGTCGCGCACCCCGCTCTGGATACGCGGCCGCCACATGAATGCTGCCCGCGAGGTGTCCGAGATGCTGTACGTCACCTCGATCAGCTGGAAATCCGGCAGCGGCACCGGTGGCGGCAACGGGGTTGCCGACGGTAACGGATACCACGGGTACCTCGACGACGAGATGTTCATCGCCTTCGGCATAGAGGACGAGAGGACCGGGGCTATCGACGTCCTGGCCAAGGATGTCCTGGGTGATATCGCGCTCTGTGGACTGTAGGCGTGTCTTCTGGAAAGGTCGAGTCGCGTATTTTTTTTTTTTTTTTTTGGGGGGGGGGGGGGTGTACATTACAATATATCATGTGTGCATTCTGTTTTGGTGTTTTCTTTTTTCTTTATTTTCTCGATGTTCCTGGTTGGGCTTTTGAGGGAGGTGGTCTGAATGTATCGTTCTCTTTGATATCAAGATTACATGCATGTATGAATAGACATGAGAAGAGGAAGGAGCAGACGAGAGTACCTCTTTCCACACACAAACAGAATAAGCAAGTCGTCATCATCATCATCATGAGATGCATATATATATATTCAGTAGTAGAGTACGTTCATCTGTCAATGTATCTCAACGAGAGGAAATATGGGATTCCAGGAGTTTCGGTGCAGGATATTGTTATATAATTATGCCAATTGAAGGGGGGGACGAATGGCCAGGGAGCAAAGATGAATTGTTGAGGTATAGGTTAAGCAACCCTGTTTGAATATATATTCGTTTTTGTTGGTATCGTCTTTTCTTCCTTTTATCTTCACCGTACGATATCACAGGTGCATCAGCTCCTTCTTCAAGAAGAGCCTTTGCKGTTGTGATGATCGATAGYTRTATTGTTCTAGGATGACTCTCTTCGTGATAGTAGCATATATGTTTGCCAAGTCATCCTGAGGCAACAACCCCGGTACCGGGTTATTCCTTCTTTCGGCCTCATTTGGCAGCCTGATGCAAACAGTTTACATGATTATTAACTGACTCCGTTATTCCGTTACTTCCAGCTGCTTTGCCTTGCTCACGTCATTTCATTCCTCCCACCCTGAACAACATCCCCGACAGGAAGAAATATGAGAAGTATAGAAAAGAAAAAATCGAAAAAAAAAATAACAAAATGGTATGCCTCTCCTCCCCTCCCCGTTTTTCTTCTTCTTTTCCTTCTCCTTTTCTTCTTTCCCACATCAATCACACAAAGTATATATATATCTATATTATATATATTATATTTCATACTTGTGATATACTGATACCCCCCTTCACCCCGAATAGAACAAGGACGCAAACTACACACACGTGCACATGACCGAGCAGCGCCACGCAGACCTAGCCGACGACTTTTGCAAGGACAAGCTCCCCCGCGACGACATCTACGTGGCGCCCCAGCACCAGCCTGTCAACCCGGAGGACGAGGACGACGTGGTTCCCGACCAGCATGCCGCTTTCGGGATACAGAGGGCTACGCAGAAGTCCAAGGAGCCGGTCTGGAAGGATCTCGGGTTGGCGGAGCTGATGAGGAGGGGACCTTCTGGGCCGTCAAAGATGCCTAGGTAATCTTCGTGGCGGGCAAGGGGGGTTGACATGCAGAATCTCCCTCTCTCTCTGGTAGATGATGGGAGACGTCCCAAGGGGAATGATGTCCTATCACGTCCGGAGGGGGATAGGAACAATGGACAATGACGTCGGGATGAGCACGAGCACATGAAGTAATGTAATTCTTCCCACGTGAATTCTATAATAAATCTTTCCCTATTGCACACAATGAATTCATGAATCAACTCGATCGCTCCGGAAACAAAATGAAGTTATGAAAACAGAAGAACGTAGTAAAGCAAGAAACAGAGAGACAAGAAAAAAAAAAGGGGGGGGGGAACGCTTGATTGTCTAGACCATACGAAAAAGAAAGAAAAAAATGGAAGGAAAAAAGAAAAAAAAAACTGCCTAGGAACAACATCTCTCCATCGTCCCATCAACCCTTCCTTGCGGCGAGAAAGGTCTCCCGCTCGACGACGTCAGGCCTGAACTTGACGAGGAAGACGGTCTTGCCGGGCCACATATCCCCCTCGGCGACGGTGTGGGCCGTGACCCTGGCGGGGAAGTCGGCGCCGTCGCAGACGCCCTCGACGACGCCGGCCACGAAGGCGGCGCAGTTGAGCTGCGACATCTCCCTGGGTACGCTGACGTACTGGTTCACCAGCGGCTCGTTGTCGATGATCATGTACTCGTCCGGTGTGTCGGGGTTGGCCGACTTCTCGAGGCGGTCGGCGTGCCTGCCGAACAGGTGCTGCCACACCGACTGCTTGATCAGGTGGAGGAGGGAGATGATATCGGTGGGTCGCTGCTGGGTCCGAGCCGGCTCGCGGTACAGGAGCAGGTCGAGGAGCTTGAGGCCTATGGGGTGACCTTGTACGTTGAGGCTGGTAGCGGTAAAAAAGAAATAAAGATGGCATGTTTGGATCAGTTGCCATGATTCATCATCACAAGATTACTTCCCCCCCCCCCCCCCCCCCCCCCCCCTCTTTCCTCTTTTATATTTCCTCCTTCTTCTCCTCCTTCTTCTCTATCATCCCTAGATAGAATGCATACGCACATGGAGAGAAAGAGAAAAGAGGGAGAGGGAGAGATGGAGAAGAGGAGAGGAGAGAGGGAGAGGGAGAGAAAAAAAAAAAGTAGACGTACCGCTGCTCTAATTCCTGGATACCCTTGACTCTCCTCTGAGCATAGGATATCATTTCCCCGAATAGAAAGGCGAAGCTGGCTTGGCTGGCCTCGTTTGTGCGTGTCCGATTCAGAGATCGATGGTAGATTGTCTTGCCGCTGCTGGGAACGCGTAGACCAGAGTCCTTGTTGGGCTGTGACGGGGGGACGTTGGACATTGTCGCTAGTCGGAGGGGTGGTTGAGGTCAGATTGCGTCTTGCTTGCTCTGCTTGTTCGTATCTTCGGTCGTGCGTGCGCGCGCGTTGTGTGTGTATGTGGTGTGTGTGTATGTGTGTGTGTGTATGTTTATGGGAAGCGCATGTTTGTCTGTATGGTGGGGGTGGGTGGGTGGATAATGATGTAGCTGGTTTGAATGGCGGATTGACGGAGGGGGGGGGGGGGGTTTCTTCTTCTTTTCTTTTTAATCTGCTGGGCAGGACGGCCCACCAAGGGATACAGGTATCAATGATTACGACGAGTACAGGTACAGAGTATTAATGAGTGCAGAGTAATATTGCCAAGATGGACAAAATCTCTATAAAGATCTGAGTCTCAATTGAGTATGTACCTCTATAATGATGGTTTTAGGATGGGAATCACGAGAGAATCAGACATGGTCTTCTTTTTTCTTGGTTGAAAAAAAAAGAGGATTTCCAATAAAAACAATAAATTAGAAGATAGAAAAAAAAAAGACATTGTATGCAGTCTATACTCATATACATGCAGCCCAGTATCCATCTATACTACATGGCAGGGTATTCTAAGCTGTGATGTGAAAGAATTAAAAGTGGTGAATGACGAAGAAGAAAGAGAAGAGATACATATGACCATGGAGAGAGAAAGAAAGAAAGAAAGAAAATAAGATGGGGAGAAAACAAGATAAAAGAAGAATACATCTACGCTTGAACCTCGTTGGTCTCGAGCTTTGCCTCGGCCAACTTGTCACCCACGGCATCAACAGCATCCTCCTCCTTCTCCCTCTCCAGGACAGCAGCGCCACCGTACTTTACACCCTTGACGCTCTCATCCGTACCAGCGACGAGGTAATCCTCCAACTCGCCCACCTCGCTGCCGGCAGCCTCCCAGCGGCGCTTCTTCTCGGCCCTCCTCTCCCGGCAGAGCTTGTTGATGGCAGGCCAGTAGACTTCGTGGTCGTATTCAAAGTCCATTTCGCCTCCCCAGTCAGCGCTCCAGAGCTGCTGGGGTGGGACGTACTGGCGCATGTCCTCGTTGAATTTGAGCTTCTCGCGCGTGACGGGGTCGATGAAGGGGGTGATGATCTTGAAGAAGCCCCATACCACCCAGGGAACTGTTGTTCATCAATGTCAGCACTAGGTTTGGTCTGGAGGGTGGGGTTTCTTCGCCTTCGTCGTCTTCTTCTTCTTTTTCTTCTTCTTCTCCTTCTTCGTCTTCTTCTTCTTCTTTCTCTCTTTTCCTCCCCCCCCCCCCCCCCCCCCCCCCCCCCCCCCCCCCCCCCCAAAATTTCCCCCCCCCCCCCCCCCCCCCCCTTCTTCTTTTCTAGATCGTAGCAAGAGACGGACAGGATGAGGGAATGGAACATACCATTTATTATGAGAGCCTTGCCCAGACGCTCGGGGTAGTGATTCTGCAGGATGTGCAGGACCTCCCTGGCGGTGGAGATGGGCGTGCTGGTGTTCTTGTTGGTCTTGGTGGGCTTGAAGTTGATCATGAGGTTGAGCGTCTCGACGCCGGCGGGCATCATGTCGGCCACCAGCTCGACCATGTAGAACAGGTGGTGGATCTGGCGGGGTGTGGCGTCGGTGTTCTGCCTGTTGGGGTTGAGGTACTGGCAGGGCCGGCCGACCCTGTCGAAGCCCACAATGATCTGCTTTCCCGTCTCCTGCTCCGGGGAGATGTAGTCGGGCGTGAAGCTGGTGATGCCGTACTCGCGCCTCCAGGCCAGCGTCGACGACAGCCTGCTGGCCGCCTCGTCCACGACCCACCGCGTGGCGCGCAGGTACCGAAGCAGGCACTCGCGCGTCAGCCACATACGCTCGTCGGGCGTGATGGGCCCGGACCTGTCCACGTCCTTGCCCTCGCTATCCTTGACGGTCGTGCACTTGACCTCCGTCACCGCCTGCATCTTCTCCAGGAGGGAGGCGTATTTGACCTTCTCTTCATCTGTGAGCTCCGGACGAGGAGGGGGCACGCAGTCCGGCGCCGGGGACTCGATGGGCGTCTTTCGCACATTCTTCGTACCCGTCGGTGCTGCCGTCTGTTCCTTGCCCATTGTCGCTGTGCCTGGGGTCTGACGTTGGCGGTGATGGAGGTGGTGAAGAGGAAGATGGTGATGAGTGAGGGACAATCCTGCAGTGTATGGCGGTGTGTGTGCGTTGAGCACCAAAGGGTAGAGAAGAAAGAAGAAGAGAGGGGAGAAGGGGAAGAGGAAGGAAGAAGGGGGGGGGCAAAGAGGAGGCAGACGACGATACGTCACTATCAGCTCGTCGTGCAACCAAGGGCAACTGTTCTCTGTCGTCGTCCAAGGACAGAAAGGGAAAAAAGAAGAAGAAGAAGAAAAAGGTACGAGAGTATTATCAGGATTATCAGAGGGAAAAAAAGGGTCCTCTTGTGAGATGAGCCAAGTCGAACGGGGTCTTGATTCCCGCCGTTGAATCCGGTCCCCTTTGGTGTGTGGGGTCTATCGGGCTGAGCCACTAATTTAAGCAACTCAGGTCAACTAGAGATACAGGGGGAAAGGGTTCGGGTCAGTCTGTCAAACCGCACCTTGTTCGTCATCAGAGACATTCAGCACTTGCCTTGTACGAGTACGAGTACGCGAGCACTTCCGCATCACGCATCCTCCTCCTCCTCCTTCACCCTTGATGCGATGGCTTGCTCGTATGATGGAAGCAATCTCTATGGTGGCTGAACGGCAATGTCGACCCAAACAAATCCACTACACGTGATACTTGACTCCTGTCTGACGGCTCGCCCGGGTTGACGTCAGCCTAGATGAAGAGCGTCCGAGTTTCCTAATCAGACCGGGTTATTCCGTTATTTGATTAATTAGAGTAATAAGGAAAATAGAAGGAGAAATAGCGTTATCTGAGCAACTCTAAATATATTGCTATTCTTCCTATATCTTCTTGGTCCGTATTTCCATAGTAGAATATAAGAAGAAGAAGGTATTTTTTAAGGGGACCAACTTATCTAGAGCGAAACACTTTAGCCCTTGTCCGTCGCCCCCGTTCTCTCTCCAACCACTCCGCTATGACGTCGATCACATTCACGTACATGTACAAGGCAGGAGGGAGACATCCATCCCAATGCTCCTTCCATTGTATCAATCAATCCCGACCCTCTCCATCTATTTGTAATTTTACATGACTTTTGCCTGACTTTGTCCGATTTCCCCCCCCCCCGTGATGACGTGTCCATCTCTACTCCCCCTCTCCTTTCTACCCTCTCTCTCCCTCTATTCACCCGTCTCGGCTCTTGAACCGTCGCTGCACATCGGCATTCAACCCCTCCATGGCCTTGGCTAGCGGTAGGAACCCACCATCGCGGCTGGCAACCCTGCGGATACCCCAGGTCGCCTTAGCCAGAGCCTCCACGTCGGCCCTGTAGGCTCCAATGTCGGGGCAGCTGAGCAGGTGGCCGATGACGTAGGCAAACGGGACGTAGGCGCGGAAGGGGCCGAACGTGGCCCCCAGCGTGGCCGGGAAGGGGTACTGTCCCACGAGGCGGCTCACGATGCCGAGCACCTGACGCGCCACGTCGAGGGCCAGGGGAGTGGCCGTGGACGGGCTGCTGTCGGGGATGGCCATCTTGCGGAGCATGAAGATGATGCAGGTGTATCCTCTCAGCGTGACGTCGACCACCATCCACCTGTCCATTGTGGTGATGTCGGAATTGGTGATCAATTGCAGCTGATAGTGTCAGGAACCGTACGGGACAGGAACGGGAAAGGAAGAGGGCACGGGGGACGAGGAGGGGATAGGGGAAGGGTCCACTCACAGGCTGCCACTCGTCGTATAGCGCCCGTATCTGGCCACACATGTCCTCCGTCCTACGGAACAACCGGACAGGCTCCTCGGCCGGGTACTCCTCTAGCATGGCGAAGAACTGCAGCAGGATGAGCGTGACGCGCGAGCTGACGAGGAACAACATCATGGCCGTGCCGGTCCCGACGGCCGGCGACGACCCCGGGTTCAGCCAAGGGAGGTTGACCTTCCAGCTGTTGCCCGAGATGGACGCCGGCTTGTCGAACATGAGGCGGAAGAAGGCGTCGACCTGGATCAGATCCCAGAAGCCCTTGCGGTCGTCGTCCGATATGTCGGGGTTATGTATGCCGCTCATGAGGTCCCCGTCACCGCCGTCTAAGTTGTGGATGCCCAGCCCTTGGGCGTACTCGCATGCCAGTTTGAACGATTTCCATGACATTTCGTAGTCGAACGACGTACCGGCCACGCGGGTCTTTTGGCGGTCACCATTAGCCACTTGAATCGGATGATGAAGGGGGTGGCGTGTTTCAGACGGATAGATGAGAGGCGAAGAGAAGAGAAGATGGGCAGAGGGAGATATGTGTGTGTGTGTGTGTGTGTGAGAGAGAGAGAGAGAGGGAGAGAGATCAAGACTCACCAAGCTGATAGCTGCTATCAGATCCATCATACAACCGGTAGCCTCCCTCTGCCAAGCCGGCAGAGCGCGAAGACAGCCGAGATAGGTCAGCTTCGTCCACCGTCCGGCGTCTTGCGGATCCTGCGTATCGTCCGGGAGCGAAGAGCCGGACCACAGGATGCAGTAGTATATGACGAGGACGCACGAGTCAAAGTGGACGTGGGGGGATGTCATCATGTCTGGCATCATTTCGAAGAATTTCCGGTCGATGAGCTTGAGAAACATGTCTGTCGGCTTCTGGGCAAAGTAATCTTGATGATGTCAGTGTCTTTTTTCTTTCTTTCTTTTTTTCTCTTCTCTTCTTCTCCTTCCTTCTTTCTCTTCCCTCTCTTGCTTTCTCTCTGGTTTTCCTTTATTGCCTTTCTTGTTTATCCTTCATCTTTGTCTGTTTCTCCCTCCCCCCCCCCCAAAAAAAAAAAATTTAAAATAAAATAAAAAAGAGAGAGAGAGACTCACTTCGAACCCAAGACTTGGCTAGCGAGGGAGGGACCTTGATCTCATCAGTCACGATTGAAGAACAGTAGCTCTGCAACCTCAACCTGTGAACGCAGTCCATGGCCTCCCTCAGAACGTCCATGGCACGAGCCGACGGATCGCCAGACGTGTCGGCAGTCTGTCTGCCACCGCTTGCGAGTGCAGAGGTGCTGCCTGCGGCGGCGGCGGCGGCGGTGCGTACCCATGACGGCGTGAAGGCACCGGACGTAGCACGCGCCGCGTCGATGGAAGCGGCATAGCTACCGGTCGAGGCGGACGGTGACGGCCCGACGGGAGGTAGAGAGAGGCTGGTGATGAGGGGAGGGGCAGCCACGGACGGCGGTGACGAGGGCGTAGACGACTCGGGACTGCCAGTGTCGTCGTCGTTGCTGTTGTTGTTGTTGTTGTTGCTGTTGTTGCTGTTGTTGCTGTTGTTGTTGCTGTTGTTGTCGCTGTTACTTACGCCTTTCTGTCGACGTTCCACGCGTCTCAGACGCTCTAGGATGATGTCCAGGGCATCTTTCGGAACGCTGTTTGTTTTGCGGGCGTGTGTGTGTGTGTGCGTGTATTTTGTCAGCCTCTTCTTTCTTGTTTTTCTTTCTCTCTCTCTTTCCTTCCTTCTCTCTTCTTGTTTCTTTCTGTAATTCCGGTCCTTTCTTATTCCAATCTCTTCAGCGAGCGAAGCGAGAAGTAGCCCCCGGTAGGGCCCCCCGGAGAGGAGAATCACAATAGAGTAGACTTTCTTTTCTTTGTTTTAAAAAAGAGAAAAAAAGGAAAAGAAGAAGAAGAGAAGAAAGACAGACTTACACACTCTCGGCATGCCTCTTTGTCCTGCGTTTCTGCCTCTCGGGATATACACACTCAACGCCATGTGTCGTGCACCAGTCGCAGCGTGGAGAGGTACGACTACATCGAACCTGTTGACGTCAGCTCTTCCCTTGCTCCTTCTCCCATCCTTTCTTCTCCTTCCTCTTCTCTTCTTCTTCTCGCCTGCTCTGCCTTGTCTTTTTTTTCCCCTCCTCTTCTCTTCTCTTTCCTTTCCTTCATTCCCTGCTCTGGATATACCTTTCTATCCTTGCATCTCACGCACTGATTGTATTCCAACGTCGCGTCAGCCCAAGACCATATAGTAAATCCCCCATATCACCAGAGGTGGGGAGGGGAGAGGGGAGAGAGGGGGGGGGGGAACGCATACAGATAATCGATTAAGCGTTGCCATTGTTTTTTCGTCTCCTCCTTCTTTACATCTCCTGATTCATATATAATCTTCATCTGTCTGTCTTTTGCCTCTGTCTTTGAGGTCTTCAGACTTTACTGAGCCACTCGGGCTTTCGGCCTTTCGGGTTCTTGAATCTATCCGAGGCCGAGCGTCGGGAACGGGAATTCTCACAAGAGTAAAGAAGATGAATCTTAAATCTTTTTGGTAATTTTTTTTTTTTTTTACATTTCAACATATAACCTTTTTTTTTTTCAACCCGTCACCTCTTGTCTCTATTCGTAATACTCATGACCTGTGATGGTCCAGTCGAAAACTATTCGTCATACTTGCCACTACCCTTGGTCTGTTTGATCTACTCATTAATAAGTCGATACATCCACTCGTCCACTTTTATAACCTCCCCCCCCCCCCCCCCCCCCGCGGTTCCCTTCTTCAACAATACCTTCACTATCTGATATATATTATACTGCTACTACTCTACTACTACTACTACTACTCTACTACTACTACTACTCTACTACTACTACTACTACTACTAGATACTACTACTACTACTACTACTACTACTACTATTTAATCTACGATATATACTCTCATCATTATTCTGCTATAATGATAATCTTCTTTATCGATTTCCCTAATATCTGCCAAGGTCATTTCGATATACACCTTTCAACTTATCCCATCATCGTCATCATGATATTCGCGTCCTTCTCATTGCAGCAGTAGTACCTGGGTGTTCTGGAATTCTAAGAGTGCGTGTGTCAATCTTATACGTGTGAACGTTATGTGACGTGTATTGACTGATAGTCTAGACCTCGATGAATCTATGCAACTATCCTTTCCCATGCATCTCAATTCGCTAACCCATATATCAATGCATTCCATACCGTATGTATTTTCCTTCCTTCATCAAAACATATCTTGTGCCTCGTGCAGAAAGCATGTAGAAGGGAATGACATGGGAAGTAAAAGAAGGAAGAGAAAGAAGGAAGAAAAAATGAAAGAAGGAAGGAGAAGAAAGAAGACTACTTGTCCTTCATTAGTTGTCTACTCGTCGCTTCATCGTATCCGATAACAGTCATGAGATAGTCTAATCTGCAACATGGTTAGTACATATAAGATGACTTCGGAGGAAAAGGGGGGGGGGGGGGCAGAACATACTCCTCTCTCGCCGTCTCTCTCAGCCGCACATCCTCGAAACTCTGCTGACTCTCCATCCAGGCCACAGCCCTGTCCCTGGCCCTCACACGCTTCACCCACAGCCTAAAGGTACCCGTGACCGGTCTGTGGTCGGACACGTACACCTCGTGGCGTCGGTAGTCGAGCTGCTGCACCCGGCCCCGACCCCGGTACAGGATGCGATCGCACCACGCCGGGCTGCGCTTCTTCTCGCTCGAGTCGTACTGGTCCGTTCCGACGTCGTACTTGTACGTCGGCGGGAACGTGATGGGCATCTCGTCAAACGCCCGGAGCCGGAACGTAGGGTTGCGCCGTCGCGCGACCAGGAGCTGGTCCCTCTCCAGCAGCTTAGCCAGGTTGCCCTGCTTCACGGCCCCGACCACCGTGTCGCGCGACATGGTGTCGATGCGGTAGTTCAGGTCGCCGTTGAGGATGCACAGCTCGTGGTCCACCACCAGGGACCCGTCCCCGCCGCCCGACAGGCTGTCTATCCGCGCCGCCGGGTCCGGCTCCGCCGGGAACAGGCTCGCCTCCAGGATCTCGCCCACGTCGTTGTGCCGTGCGTTGGCCTGCGACTGGCCCGCGGCCAGGTGGCAGTTGACGAAGCACAGCGACGTGTCGTCGATCTGGAACCGCACCGCCACCGCGCCCTTGTTGCCGTGCAGACCGCCCATGCCGCGCTTCACCTCGGCCCCGCTGACGTTGCGGATACGGTCGCGCAGGGTCGACTTGACGAACACGCACGTGAACAGCCCCACCATCGGCGCCGTGTGCAGCAGGTGGTAGAGCTCGCCCGCCGGCATGTAGTCGTCCAGCGTCTTCATCAGAAAGTCCTTCCAGTCGCGGTACTTGTGCGACATGCTCTCCTGGTCGTGGCTCTCCTTCTTCTTGCCCTTGAGGAACCGCTTGGCCGTCGCCGTCTTGTCCTCGAGGTCCACCAGCTCCTGGAAGCCGAAGATGAGTATGTCGGGCGCCCCGCTCGACTGTATCAGGTCCGGGAAGAAGCCGCCGTCGTTGCCCGAGTACCGCAGGCTGTGCGGGGTCGACGCGCCCGCGTTCCACGTGAAGACGAGCGCCCGTATCTCGTCAAAGTCGCAGTAGCTGACGTCCTTGGACTTCATGTCGTCCTCGACCCAGTCGTCCTCGAGCAGGCCGTCCCACGTGCGGATCTTGTTGTCCGCCCCCATCGACACCACCTGCACCCGGCCGGTCTTGTACGCCGCTGCCGGGTCCGACTTGATGCCGATGATGGGGTTGCTGTGCGCCTGCCACTCCTTGAGGACCGTCCAGGGGGCGTCGCCGATGTCGTAGACGCACATCTTGCCCGTGTTGAAGCCCACCCAGATCCGGTGGCCGACGCCCACCAGCGAGTTGACCTTCCACGTGCTGACGTTGAGCACCCCGATGCAGGCGTACGTCTCCGCCGAGAAGATGCTGACCTTGCCGTCCGAGTGCCCGAAGAAGACCTTTCCCGGCTGCGTCTTGACCGTCGTGCCAGACGTCACGTCCCCGGCACCGTCGGCCACCAGCGGCCGGATCAGCACCTGGAACTGCGAGCGCCCGTCGAGCGTCGGGGCGAAGACGCGGATCTCCTTTCCGGTGGCGTGCCAGAGCTCGTGCCCGATGGGCATGACAAACGTGTGATCCCGCGGCACCTTGAACGACTGGTGCGGGAAGCCCGTGACGTTGGGCAGGCCCGTCTCGTCCGGGCCCCAGGCCAGCAGGACGCCGGCGTCGTCCAGCGTCCACAGCTGGTTGTAGTAGCGGAAGATCCTGATGACCGGCCGCTTCTGGTGCGCGGAGCCTCTGCCGGGGGTGATGGTGTGCATCGTCAGGTCCACCTCCATCAGCTCGCCCGTGTTGGTGCCGAGCCAGACGGCGGTGCCCTCCTGCATCACGTCGATGCCCGGCTTGAAGGCGACCGACGTGACCTTGACGCCTTCGGTGTGCGACAGGCTCATGGTCATTTCGCCGTCGAGCAGATTCCAGACCCGCGTCAGCTGGCCGCTGGTGCAGACGAGCTCGCCGCATACGTCGAATATGCGCGGGTCGTACCTGGTGGCGATGTCGCAGGCGCTCTTCTTCATATAGGGGGGTCGGCGGTTTGTGCTGGAGCAGTCGGGGTACGCGGCCACCTGCCACGGAGCCTCGGTCTTTACGGGTGGCGGCTGTGCCTGTGCCGTCGTCTCGGCCTTGGCGGACGCGACAGCTTGGGCGTGCACTTCTCCGGCATGCACGGTAGCACGCTCCGTCGCAGCTTGCTGCCGGCTCCTTGCCGGCGTCGCGGAAGGCTGCTGCTGAGCTAGCGGGTTGGAGGAGGCCCTCTTAGGGGGCGACACCGACTGCGCCTGGGTTCCCGGATGGTGCGGAGGCATCATGGATACAGGACGGACCGCGCGAGGGGGTGTCGAGGCCGGGTATTGCACGGATAGAGGTCTTGCGGCGGCGCTGCCGTGCGGGTGCGACTTGGTCGGAGTGCCGGCGTACCCGTCGTCCACCTTGGGGGCGGCGTGGCCGTTGCCGGCAGATGCATTCGTCCCCGGCCCGTTCCTCTTGGTCGACAGCGAATGGCGCACGGGCTGAGGCGCGTGCGCGTCGGCGGGCGGTCTCGGGCGAGTAGGAAGTTGGGGCGGCGGCGGGTCGTTGCCGCGGTCGTCGGCGCCAGCGCCAGGGCTGCCGGGAGGGCTGCTGAAGGGCGAATTCCCGTGGTCCGGCTGAGGGCCCTTTTGCGGCATGAGGGGCCCGTCGCCGTGGGTCTCGGCCGGAGGTTCGAGGGTCAGGGTCTTGTCCCGGCGAGGGGCAGGCGGAGGAGGGGGCTGCTTCGGCTCGCGTCGTATCTCGCCCGACCTCCGGGGCGGTGGAGGTGAGGGGGCGGCTGCATGGCGCGGGTATCGCGGCGGCAGTATTGTGGGAGAGGTCGAGCGGAGCGGGGACTTGGCGGGCGTCGAGGCGCCAGCCGGCCCCAGGTTCAAGCCGTGATCGGCGGGCGACATGGCGACGGGCGAGGCGACGAGGCCAGCATTGCGCCGGGGGGGCGACTGGGGCGGCAGGATGTTGACGGAGGGCGCTGTCTGGGAGTTGCTAGGCAGCGACGGCTTCGAGGAAGGAGCGGGCCTCGTAGACGGATGGAGAGGCAGAGGCGGGGCTGCGACGGCGGCGGCGGCGGCGGCGGCGGCGGAGGGAGCGGAGGGGGCAGTGGCCGTGGTGGAGTTGTCGGCGCTGTCGTGAGAAGAAGTAGAAGACGTAGGGGCGGGGACGGCAGGCTTCGGGCGGTCCTTTGGCCTCAGGGGAACAGTAGGGATGGCGGGTGTGGTGGGCGCAGGAGCGGCGACGGAGGCGGGGGGCTTGAAGTCTCGCAACCTGTTAGGTTTGGGGGCTGGAGATATGGATCGTGAGGGAGTCTTCTGAGTGACAGCTCTAGGGTTGGGGGCGGAAGGAGGAGGAGGAGCATTGCCGAAGGTCTCGAAGCGGGCGCGTATCGAAGAGACGGGGCCCTAGAGGGGGACGTTAGCTAGACGGCGCGGGGGGGTAGGCGGAGAAGATGGGGTGAGAGCATGAGGGCGCGGTGCGTACGAGCGACGAGGCGTCGGGCCCTTCAGGATCGGGGGGCTCCATGCTGCAGCTGCTGGAGCCGTGTGTCGAGTTTGCGGAGGAGTCGTCGGCGGAGCAGTCGTCCCCGTAGGAGGGGAGGGAGGGGTGGTAATGTCCAAGCTGGTCTCGAGGGTGGGGTCAGGGCGACGTTGCCCATCACACCGACGGCGAAGCCAAAGATTCGGGGAAACTGGCAGGCGTCATGAAATGGGAGCTTGGACAATTCGGAGAGGGATGCGTGGGTGATAAGAGTAGGCCGCGATCGGTCGGAGAGAGTTTGTTGGCGGTTTGGCTGCACGTGGATGGCTTGGGGGGGGATTGATAGTGGGAGGAGGTAGCGTGGCTGAGTAGGCGGGTGTTGGTGTACTGATATTACTACTAATAGTAATCTGTACTTAGTAGTAGTCATTGACTAATTGTACTATGTTGGCAAGAACTCCGAAGAGTGCTACTTTGGGGTGGAAATATGGTGCCGCGTTTTTCCCTCCTTGCTAGATACCTTGTCGAGGAAGCTTGACTGTTGCATGGCCTGTGGCCCTGAGAGAGGGAGGGAGGGAGGGAGAGGGAGAGAAGAGAGGAAAATTAAAATAAGAAGAAAAGGAGTTGGAGGGTTGCGTGACTAGACGGTACCAATTGGTGGTGAGTGGTGAGTGAAGTCACCAAGAGCAAGGGGATTTGATCGTGTTAGCGATTCAGTGTGCCCGTCGGTGATGGCACTAACACTTTTGATTAAATCTTATGCGCAGGAAGTACGGGATACGGTGCACGAATAATCTGTACTTGACTTGGGTATTCAGACCTCCAGACGGCAGGGACTAGAGAGTTGCACGGTCAATCAGGGCAGGCAAACGTCGAGGTCAATTGGGTAATTCCCGGTACATGCTGGTCACTGCTACTATCATCATCGCCATCAGCAAGGCAACGTATCGCGGTCATCCATCACATGTTGGTGTACTGCTGAGAAGGAAGGATACTGCCCATGTACGGTGTATGTTACTGCTACTACAGATTACATACTCGTACATATGAAAGCTGCCAAGTGCCAAGTGCCATCTGCCGAAGGCCTTGGTGTGATCTCGTTGGTGGTACGGAGTATCGATCGTGGTATTGATATATTCGCACGGTATGTACTGATGTAGTCCCGTATATACCATACAGTGCACAAGACAGTATCCACGCTTACCACCACGGTAGAACGATGGAGGCCTCTAACAGATATGTAATATGTACAGATTACCCATGTGTGAGATATTATTATTACTCATATACTCGTGCTGTCCAGCTCCGATCATGATTACATAATATTGATTATATAATGCATCTTGTCCTGGCCCCTCTGTCGTCTGCTTCTCTCATCAGTGGCTTCTCATCAGTGTGGACAAGGCCATGGGGTTCCTGACAGCTGTATACGGGTACGTATAATACTGCATACATAAATCATGATAGAAAATGATACAATGTAATCTGCAGAGGGTCTCGTAGAGGGTCCGGATGTAAAACTGTACTTTGTACGAGTACTCGTATATCGCTAATATTACGGAGTATTGCTCCATGCCTACCTATTATAATGATACGCACAGATTACAAGTACGGAGTAAATCTGTACAGATACTATTGCTCCTTTCTCCATACTCGTACATGTAGTCTCATTAAGCTAGCGGGAGGATATACGGATTATCGTTCGATTTTCCACTTCTCAAGTCACTTGGAAGTTTGGCCGACGCCGTAGATGGGAATCCCGGAGGATCATCTAGATTACGCTCGTACTCGTACTTGTACATGGATGAGCCTTTTCCCCCGACAAGCTCGTATGAGTACTTCACTATGATTTCGGCTTGGAACTCACAAATTGTAACCTGTACATGCGAGTATAGCTGGTAGCTTGTAGCCTGTTAGGAGTACGGAGTGCAGCAGGTCAATTCTGGTGGGCCCTTCAACTCTTCCCTATTGTTCCCGTACCGTCAACCCTTTTTATCCTCGTCGTCACCCGAATTTCTCGTCATCCTTATTGATTTATTTCCTCGTAATCCGTACACGGTACTCCGTACTTTATCGTCCTATCCATCTTGGACCCTTGACATCACGTTTCTTTTTCTCTCTTTTTTTTTTCTTACTCCCCTCTCCCATCACCAAATACCTGCAACCATCACCATCACCACCACCACCACCATCGTCATCATCATCATTCCCACTCGGCAAAATAAAAAATAATCGCTCTCTTCACAATGAACACGGTATGTTCTTCCTACTCTCTCCATTTACCGATATGGTCATCAAGATACATCCGTCTCTAACGATCCCCCCCCCCCCGCAGGTCAAGTCCTTTTGGTACTCAACAGCACCTCCTCCGACCCGACGGCAACCTTGATATCTCCAGTACTGACCGCAAACACAAACCCGCAGGTTCGGATGGGGTTCCCTCTGCGTCGGTATGTCTTCTCCGTCTCGCTCTCTCCGTCTCACTCCTCTCCCCTCCTTCCCACCCCTTACTGAGCATTGCTCCCTCTCCAGCCGGCGCCGGTGCCTACGTCTTCGCCAAGCGTGAAATCAACGCCGACCGCCAGTCCAAGATGGCCGAGCAGCGTCGTCGCAAAGAGGAGCAGCAGCAGCGGACCATGGACGAGTACAACAACCGGACAGGCGGCACCTCGGCCACCCCGGCCCGTCTCGACACTGCCGCCTCTCCCAGTCAGGAGGGCAATCACGATCCTGCCCCTACCCGCCACGAGCCGGCCACGGAGGAGCAGCGCATAGAGGAGAAGGGAAAGTATGAGAGTAGTGTGCCGTACCGGAGCCGGAAGGGGGATAGATTCTCGTAGCTGTGCTGTCTCCTGGTCAACGACGTCCCAAAGGGGGGGGGGGGGTTTGTCGGGAAGGAAATTTGAGAAAGTTGTACAATAGCGACATTATGTCTTGATTGATGCGTCAGACCGGTCTCTCTGATCCTCCCTTCTTGATATCTCGTCTCTGGTACTGGGTTAGACGTAATGTAGCCTATGATGCCATGCGACTCTGCCAGACCATCGTCAGCATCCATGGCCATTATCACCAGACACCACTGCACCAAAACCCTACAAGCATAGACGGCAGCTACAATCTATTACGATGTACGCCCAATTCTTTTCTTCCTTCTTCCTCTCTCTCTGTCTCTCTTTCTATAACGCTCCATATATTACCAGATTTCAAACAGACAAGTCCACATCGTATACGCAACAGCATGCGTGCCGCAAATCCACTCACCTGCCTGCACCAACGTCACTATCATATGCCGAAGCTTAGCCGGCGCGTTCCCCATCCCAAGCTTGAGCTTCACATTCCATTCTATTCATCATCTTCACCTTTCCCACTTCCAATTCGCACCCAACGCCACGGTGGGATACCAATCTCATCGACATGGCCCAAGAGCTCGCCATAGCCAAAGCCGGCCTATCAGCCTCCCTCTTCCGTTCGGACCCAACGCCCCTCTCCCGTCCCTCGGTCGACGAATTTCTATCCCAACTATCCTCCACTCTAACGACATGTTCACGTCCAAACGTCCAGGTATGCATACGTACACTCACACACGCACACACACGCACACACGCACACACCCCGTCTTCTTCCCACCACCCCGGAGACGCAAAATCAATGCTGACGGCAACAGAAATGCAGAATCTGGGTGACAGAAAACATATCCCCTTCTCCATCCCGCATCGCCAGTCTAGCACGCTATCTATCCGCCCTGAGCAGGAGCATTGACACCACCGCCGCCACCACCGCCTCTTCCTCCTCCTCGTCTTCGTCGAGCACCAAGCCCAGCCCTCGCAGACAGAGACTTCATGTCCTCTACATCATCAACGACGTCGCCCACCATGACAGGAACCTCTTCGCTCAGCCCGCGTGGGAGACCCACCTCCCCAACCTCGTCAGCTCGGCCGCCAGTTTCGAAAATTGTCCGCGCCACATGGCCAAGCTACAAAGTCTGCTCGACCTGTGGCAACAGAGAGACTACTTCCCTCCCGGACTTCAGCTCCGGGAAGCCATGACATCTGCTCCCGCAACTACGACGACGACGACGACGACGACGACGACGACAACCACTCCCATTGTCACTTCTTCTGCTTCTGCTTCAAAGTCAACACCAACACCATTTGTCCTCCCTTCTCTCCACGGCGACCCGACAACACCATGGTACGACCTACCGGCCTCGACATGGCTCCCTCACATCCAGCCCAACTCCACGCGCCCCATGGACCCAGACTCCATCCGTCCCATCCCCATGCACTCCGGCCCCGCGGACCCCAAGTTAACCGCCGCCGTGACTACCCTCCTGTCCGACGTGGCCAGGCTGTTCTCCAAGGAGCGCGGCGACGAGGCCCAGCATGACGATCAGGACCTCGTCGTCCACGACGTCTCGGAGCTAGGCGAGGACATCTCCGTCGACGTCGTGACCGGCCACGTCGTCGATGGGGAGACATACTACGGCTGGTCCCGCTCCTTCTGCCAGCAGATGAAGCAGCGAGGCAGGAAACGCTCCCGCTCCCGCTCCCGCTCTCGTACCCCCCCTCATCAGACACAGCGTGAGAGAAGGAGCCCTTCTTCTTCTTATTCTGCCTCCCCCCCTGCTTCCCCCCCTCCGCGCCATCAGTTCAACCATCCTCCCGCCCCACCGCCTGCATTCCCCCCTCCAGCAGACTTTCCTATTCCTCCCCCTCCTCCAGTCGGATACAACGGTCCCTGGCCTCCTCCTCCCCCTCCCCCTGTCATGGGCAGTAACAATCAGACTTGGTTCCCTCCTCCCCCTCCCCCTCCTCCTATCCACGGTGCACCATGGGGACTGCTTGCTCCTCCTCCTCCCCCACCACCACCACATCAATATCAGGGCGGGGGGGGGAACCACCGTGGGAATTTCAGAGGTCGTGGAAGATGGTAGACGTCAGCGTGTCATGTTGGGAAGTAAGAAAAGATAGAAGGATAAAAGAGAGAGCCGTAAACACCAATGTATTGAATCCATACAAAATAATTTTTTTGAAAAGAAAAAGAAGAAAAACTCCCATCTATCACATTTTGAAAGGACATGGATACTTTCAACGCGATGCCTTCATCCATATACTAAAGACAATCATGAATAATAAATACCATCATGAAAGACCCAAGACAAACCATGAGTTCAATTCTTGAAACATGATGGGGAGGGGAAATGTCTTTGGTAAAGAAGTAAATAAAATAAAAAAGGAAGGAAAGTCCGTCATCATATTTCCCCTCCACCTTTTCCTTGCCACTCCCCTCCTTATCTTTCTCACCGGGCGCCGACATATTTGGAAAAAAAAACAGTAGAAGAAAACCAACATTTAGAAAAAAAAAAAGAGGAGGGGATGGAAGAGAAAGAAAACTTCTTGCTTTTTTGTTTTGTTTCGAGGTAAACAGGGAGAAACACATGTATCCTGCGTTTCTTTTTGGACCTTCATTGTTCACCTTTGAATATCCCGACATGTCATGACTGCCCTCATTTACTCCTGACTGACCCCGTGGATCCCTGACGCTCGTGGTTTACAGAGTTGAGACGGCCGGCAGCATCCTGGAGCTTGAGAGAGTCCAGGCGTTTCTGGTTGTCCTCGGACATCGGGTCGACCTCGTCAACCCTCGAGAGGTTGGAACCCTGGGCCAAACCTGCTGCTGTAGTCGTCATCACTGTCGTACCCGTCGCGCTGCCGCTGCTGATTCCCGACACGATTCGCTGCTGCTCCGCCTTCTCCTCGAGCGCTGCCCACTTGCTCTCTCGTATGGCTTCCCTAGCCGCCGCGCTGTTCTGCTGCTCCGTGTAATCATGAGAGCAGTCGTCGAATAGCTGCGGGTTGATCTCCATGAACAGCTTCATGGCGTTGTACACCATGCCATGGATCGTCCTGGGAGGTGTCAGCACATGGCACAGACGTAGAAGGGAGGATTGATAGGAGAAGGAGAAGCCGGGACGTACCTATTCCAGTGTCCCTTGGAGTTCTCGTAGAGCGGAGCGAACATTATGGGCAGAATAATCTCGACGTTGTCGCTGACCAGGTTGCAAAAGTACTCATTGTTCCAAAAGTACAGCGCTCGCTCCGCCACCTGAAAATGCGGGCTGGCCACGGACTTGGCCAGTTGATGAAACAGGGGCTCCTGGACCTTGGCAAACTCTGCCGGGTCCATGACTTCGAATATGTCCTCGACCTCGTTGAGGAACATGACTTCCTTTGTACTGTTGACCTTGGGCCAGTAGCGGAGGAGACCAAGTACGACCTGTTTTGTCAGTCTTCTACGATATCTAGAACGAGTGGTGGTGGTGGAGGAGAATAGAGAATACGTACATCCTCCGTCAGTGATGCGTCCTTTTCCAGAAACTGGACGATGCAGTAGGCGAGCTGGGGGTGGTACATGCTGAGGCTCTTGGGCTTGTGCAGAGGCAGTAGGACGCGGGTGAGGAAGATTTTGTGCTCCTCCTTGAGGGGTAGAGCAAAGCCGTTGATGATAGAGCCCAGAATCTCAAGAAGCTCGGCGATGCCGTTGAAACGCTCCGTCTCGTAGGTGAACTGGAAGAAGACGTTGTTGATGGAGCGGCGAATGAAGGATCGGAGGTTGAGGAATTTGCCGTAGATGCGGTGGAGCGTCGTCTTGAGGAAATCTCGCTCGCGGGGGTCCTCGGAGTCGAAGAGCTCAAGCAGAGACAGGACGAAGCCATGGTCGATGTAGGCCTTGGCAATGTTGGTGTTGAAATCCTGGCTCTCAATGAAGCGGAGAAAGAACTCGTAGACTACCTGGATGTGAGGCCAGGCCACCTCGAGGACGGGCTCATCCTCCTCCGGGTCAAAAGCCTCGCCCTGGGGGTTCATTGGCGGCGGGATAGGACGGAACAGGTTCTTGGAGAACATGTCGACGACGCGGGGATACATGGGCTCGGTGATGACCTGCCTGTTGTTGGCCACGTAGTCGAGAAGCTCGTGCAGGGCCAGTCGCTTAATCTCCTTGGATTTCATGTCGGCGCTGGCATCGTTGAAGTCGAAGATGACGTTGCACTGATCAATCTTCTGCATAAAGAGCTCCTGTCGACGGTTCGGCGGCACCTCGTGAAACCCGGGCAGCTTCTCCAGCTCACGGTGGGCGGAAATGTCAAAGCGTGACGAGTGCTGGCGCTTGGGCGTCCTCAGGCCCTCGGGGATGGCGTCTCGGTTGTCGATACCTCGATGCAGGAGCATCGACTTCTGGCCAGGCTTGGGAGGAGCCAGATCGTGGGGCATCGTCTCGGCAGCTCCAGGCGGCGGGACCTGTTGTTTGTGGTGTCAGATTGGTCCGACCATGGCCATCTCAACATCTCGCAGCAGCTAGTAGCAGCAATGGCAAGCATTGAGTGCATCTAGGGAAGGGAATGTGATTTCAACTTGGGGGGTGAGCTTACACCGGGGGTCGGGCTGATGATCACAGAAGGGGGGCCCCTGTCGCCGCCATTGGGGCTGGAACTTCCGCCTCCTGGGAAGCGATCTGGGAGGCTACCCTGCTGGACAACGTTGGACAGATTGGAGGGCTGGCCAGCAGCGTGATCACCCCCGGATCCGGTAGGGTTGCCAGGTGTGTTCTTGGATCGGCCATCGTTGAGGGTCGAGGTGGAGGATGAGGGGGTGAGGACGGGGGACTGGTTGGAAGAGTCGCGCGACGGGGAAGCCGTACCGTCCTTGGTGTCCTTGTTCTTCTTGGAGGATTTGCTAGGATCCTTCCCTCGCGAGAGCTATATTTTCGATAACGCGTTAAAATCCATCAATGCATTCATGTAGCTTTTGCAGGTAACCGTCCTCCTACTTTTCTTTGTTTTTTTCTGCGGAAAGAAGGGGAGGGGGTGGCGTAAGGATGAGGACAAAGCATAGCTTACCACTCTTTGACTGAAACGCTTCATCTTGGACAGATACGTCCCCTCTCAGACGCGACAGTGTATTAACTTAAGAGAAGAGGAAAAAGAGGAAATGACAAGTATAAAAAGAAGAGCAGCCGACTTTCCAGACAAAAAAAGTACTATGCCGGGCGGGCGGCGACCGGCAGTGGGGCAGACGGATTGAAGAAGAGGAGCAACAAGTGGCCGTAGCTCTCGCGCAACAACGGAGAGGGAGGGCGACGACGGGAGAGAGAGGGGGGCCCGAAGGAAATTATAGAGGAGAGAGCGCTGGCGACGCCCGCGGAAGGCGAGACACGACAAAGGTATTCAGGTCGTCAATTCCGTTATCGATTTCGTCGATCGAGGGAGCGGTAGGCAAGGGAGTGACAGGAAGGGGGCGGGTAGGCCGTGAACGCGGAGTTGAGGGGCGGGCGCGGCGAGAAAGAGGTGTGTCGAGGATCGATGGATGGTGGTGATTGTGCCAGGTCCCAGTCCAGGGGCGTTTGTGCCCGTTCTCTCTGAGAGTCGGAGAGAGAGCTGATAATAATGCTCGGCCGGTACTTTGCTAAGGTTAGGCTGCGCTTTCTCGTACTGTGCTATGCTGTACTAGACCAATATTCAGTGAGCTAGGCTGCAGGGGCGAAGACAGAGAGCACAGGGAGGGGAGAGACGTCAGACGGGAGGAGGGAGAGGATGAGAGAGCTCACACAGGGTCTGCGCACAGTGGGAAAGTCACGCGGCAGTAGAGCCAGAAACTGACTGAGGAGACGGACTGGGAGTGGGACCTCTAGGACCCTCTTTACCTCTATTCCGTACGAGTAACAATGGGGGTTCTCGTCAGTAATAATAAGCTACTCGTCGGGCGGTACTCGTAGACTGGTGAGAAGAACGACGTAGGTGCGAGTACTGGTACTATTGTACTATCTCTGGGAGTCGTTGGAAGGAGTCAGCCGCTCCGAGAGGGGGTTGGGTCCGAGATAAAAAAGAGAGGAGACAGTGACGCTGTGGAATTCAGACGTTGAGCCACTCATTGGAATTGGGGGAGAGGACAGACAACGGCAAAGATCCAAGGAACGACAACTGGGATGCTAAGGGTAGAAAGTAGAAACGAAACAAGCTGGCAGAGAGGGGAAGTGGAAAAGTGATGATGCCTGCTGTTGGACTGTTACCAGGACTTGATGCTCCTTGGCTCCTTCCTACTGTTGCTGTTTGCTGTTCCTGTCGCGCTGTCCATGTCAAGTGCCCATCAGCTGCACGCTGTACTCGTACAGGGTATGATACATGTACGCTGTATCTGTACGTACCTGTTACTCGTAATATACTCGTAGGCGGTGAAACAGGGCGCTGATGCCGTAGGCCAATAGGTGGGCCAATAGGTGTGCCTATAGGTGTGCAGCAGCCTATATTATAGGGGTTCCTAGATGAGATCCCACGGGGGTGTAGGGATTTAGGGGGCTGCTGCGCCTAGAGATCTCTCAAAGGGGATCTTTCTAGGGGGGTCCCTCCCGGGGGGCTTAGGGGGCTTAGTGGAGGGGGAACCGCTAATAAATCTCGTACCCCTCAATTCCAGGGGCCAATCCGGGCAATCTGCAGTCCCCAAGCGGCAAGGCGCGACGAGAGGCGTTCAACACTGTGAACGATGCACTGTGTCACTTGACCTCTAATAGACCTCTGCATATTACTCCGTGATGATGGCGACTTTGGGAGTAGACTGTATGACAGCCTCATGTTCGATAATGCATTGCATCGGCTATTATAATGTCCCCCCGTCAACCAATGTTCATCATTTAGATTACTTGATTTCTCCATTGTCTGATGCTCTCCAGCCTTAATATTAATCGGGGCGAGCCAAAGTATGTAAACAGATTGCATACCCTATGGATATCCTTTATCCGAGAGAAAGCACAGCCATCATCGATAAACCAAAGCATCAAATAACTAGGTTTCTAGGCTCGTCAGCAGAGTTTCGAGAGCTCTTTCACTGAGTATTAATAGTAAGAGTAGTAAATTTTCGATAGGCTGACGGGGTGTGCAAACTCCTGTTCACTGCACGGTTTGCCGTGGCATCATTGATGGGCTGGTTCTGTACAGATACTCGCAGTCGAATTTACCGTGATGAGAATACTACAGAAACACCAACAGCAAACAGCCAGAATATCAAGCGTACAGCTTTCTCCACAAACGACGAATGCATTCCATGGTTTAGTATTTATCGGGGAGGTTCTGGTAGCATAATCTTCATATCTCGGGATACAGACACTTACTTTTTTGAAGCCCCAATAGTCCCACGTGGTTGTACAGTATAAATTTGATGAACTGTACTGTGACGGCACCGCAGTCATATACCCGTCTGCACAGTGTCCAGAAAAAAACGCATATGCAAAATACCACAACGCCATGCCGGTACGACCGAATCCATCAGACTTCATCACCACCTGTATTACCATCTGTCCAACTAGTGACGCACCAGCTGCACCCGTTACCTCACAGGAGACAGTACCACTCACCAAACCGGGCCAGGCAAAAGCTCACAGGCCTCTATGGCTGCCTCCCGCCCCGGGGCCGCAAGCCGTGATGAGAACTCACTCCAAGACGGCGCACCGCGATACCCCATCCCCCAGAGGAGACTAGGCGCCGTCGAGATCCCGGCCATTGTAAAGGATATCGACCGTACCGTCAATGCCTTTGGCAGGGTTCCTTCATTAAACCACGTGCGTAGAGACACACACACGTACGCACGCACGCACGCACGCATAAACCAACAAACGCAACTGACATGGTATTACTACACAGGTCCTAGATCCAGAACGGCACTCCATACCACTCTACCTGAACCCAGAGAGCCCGTTTTGCAAACCTCTAATGTCGCACAATGCCAGGACGCACAACGTCGTCCTCAAGGTGACAGTGCCAAGGCGGACGGGGAGGAAGCGCAAGAGGGGCACCAATGGGCCGTGGCAGGCCGACACCGAGGCCATGAACCGGCTTCATCAAGGGGATCAGAGTGCGCAGCAGATCTGCTCTCACGGCCGTCTGGACGACCCCCGGACTCTGCAGAGGAAGCTGGCCGATAACGTGGGCCGGTATGAGGTCGAGGCCGTCGGGACCGTGAGGCACACGCATCGGTTCAGGGGGCTGGCAGACTTTTACTGGGTCACGTCTGAACGGTCTGACTTTGCCCGGAGGTATACAGACCAGGTGCTACCTGGAAATGGTAAGTCCCACCGTCGCCCACGCATGACGCCGCATGACGCTGCATGGAGGGAAGCCTGCTAAGGAGGAAGTCTGCAGTCGAGGACTTGAAGGAGTTCAAGTTTAGGCCGGGTATCGACAAGGGACCGAACGTGGACGTGCTCCCGCCGCCAGTCTTCACGCACATGAACCTGCCCTTCAACTACTTCTACTCTCAGAACCCATACGTGCGCGTGACGGACGATGGGCAGACGTTCAACGCCACGGCGGTGAAGCACGTGGGCCACTTCATCGGGGCCGAGGACCCTCCGCCCTCCGGTCCGCAGCACGCTCCCGACATGACGGACCCGCGAACGGTGGAGGTGATGGCGGAGCTGGAGTCGGCGTTTGACGAGCGGCCCGTGTGGACGCGGCGGTCCTTGATGAACCACCTGGGCGGGAAGCTGCGCAACTGGACCGAGTTGAAGCGGTACCTCAACTACGCGGCGTACCAGTTCAAGGGCGGGCCGTGGCGCGACGGCGTGGTGCCCTATGGCCTGGACCCGCGGACGGACCCCAAGTACCGCATATACCAGACCGTCATGTTCAAGCTCCTACCTCGCAACGCCCGGTCGGCCGGCGATGCCGCCTGGCGGTCCATCCACGACCATGGCGGCCACGATGACGGCAGCGGCAGGCCGCAAGGCTTCCACCCGGACCCGTTGAAGAGCCACATCTTTGACGGCCAGACGTACCACCTCGACGGCAAGGTCTGGCAGGTCTGCGACATCACCGACCCCCTGCTACGCGACCTGCTCGACAAGGCGGCCGTCCGGCCAACCCGCGACCCAAACAGCGGATGGTACCACGGCGGCCTGTGGGCCAAGGCCAAGGCCATCATGAAGACCAAGATGATCGCTATCCGCTTCGGACGTGACCTATCTGACAGGGACTTTGCGGCCACCCTAGACGCCGGTGACCAGACGCCCGTCCGACCGGGGACGGTCACGACGACCTCTTCGTCGTCTGTCCTGCCGCTTCCCGATCTGCGTCTGACGGATGACGAGCTCAGACTGCTCAGGGGCCGGAACCCTGCGAAGAGGACCAAGCATGCGGGGTATAGTATGCGTGTGCGCAATGCTGAGGCGACGAGCGAGGGGGCCCAGGCGGTAGCCGAGGAGGAGGAGGAGGGAGAGCAGCGGGGGGAGCAGCAGGCAGCAAGTGTGGATGAGCGAGGGGAGGGAGTAGAGGGGGCGACACCGCTGGCCGAGTTTGCGCAGGGTGGCTCGGAGAATGAATCGGGGAGTGAGAGTGGTAGTGATCTTCAGGAAGGAGATGATGATGGTTATGAGTACCCTGATGTACCGGTTTAGGGTAGTTGGTCTTCATATGTATACCGTTATGATGGCGGCACCTCAAGATGTGGTCAGTGTTTGTATGGTTGACGCTACATGATATCCTATGGCTGCAGATCTGGACCATGATGGGAATATAAAATCACAAGATCAGCAATCCCTAAAGAGAAGAAGAGAACGTAGGATGGGGGGGAGTATTTCTGATCGGTCAACCGACATCTCCATTGATGGTTAACGACCAGCTGGGTATAGGTTAGCTCCCCCATGAATGCTGGTATATGCCTCCCCCCCTGATGACCTAAGCCTGGACCGGGTACCGTTTTACAAGGCAACAGAAGCCCCAGCAACATTCCCGAAACCAACTCCCCATCCGCACTTCCCGGATTGCTGACGGGTGACGACGACGACGACGACGACGACTACTACTACTACGACGACGACACAGTGCAGAATTCCATCTTTGTTTCCTCGATTAGGAATATTGGCTCAACCTCTGACAACCGGTTTATATACATCTATATATATTTCTTTTCTCCTTGCCTTTTTGTTTTCCCCAAAAAAAAGGCGTTGGGCAACCCTACAAAGCGACGGCGGATGACGCGGCAACGATCTTCAATGTACGACTTTGTGGCTATGCAAGTTTAGGAAACAAGAAATCCCGAGAAGGAAAGACAAGAACCAAGGCAGAAGAAGATCAGAACAGAGGGCGAACAGAAGGGGGAGGCAGGAAAGGAACAGACAAGGAAAAAATGATGACGGCCCGTCGGTGCGCGCGTCGTATGGAGCGGGTGTGCTGCACTACGGCCAAGTACATGCCCCTTGGGTTCGTGTACGGGCTGACATCATGGGGTATGTGGGTGGTGGCCAAGGTCGGACTGGCGGGGAGTGCCAAGCAGCCGTGGCTGGGGAAGTGGTCGACGGCGTTTGGGCTGCTGCTGTACGTGCTGCTGAACTGGTCGTACACCACGGCCGTCTTCACGCCGCCCGGGTCGACGACGGACGACAACGGCTACGGGCTCCTGCCGACGGAGGCCTCGGGGGCGGAGAACGGGGCGACGTCGTACACGGTCAAGAGCAACGGCGAGTTCCGGTACTGCAAGAAGTGCCAGGCGCGCAAGCCGGACAGGGCGCACCACTGCTCGACGTGCCGGCGGTGCGTGCTCAAGATGGACCACCACTGCCCGTGGCTGGCGACGTGCGTCGGCCTGCGCAACTACAAGGCCTTCCTCCTCTTCCTCATCTACACGAGCGTCTTCTGCATGTACGCGGCCGTCGTCGCGGGCACGTGGGTGTGGTCGGAGCTGCTCGACAGTGCCGAGTACATAGACTCTCTGGCGCCCGTCAACTTCGTCATGGCGGCCGTGGTGGGCGGCATCATCTCCATCGTCGTCGGCGCCTTCACGTCGTGGCACATAATGCTCGCCTGCCGCGGCCAGACCACGATCGAGTGCCTGGAGAAGACGCGGTACCGCTCCCCGCTCCAGAGAGCCTATCGCCAGGCCCACGACCCGGCAAACCGCATGGCCCCGGCGGCCCGGCAGCTCGTCGACTTCCACGCCAACGCCATCCCGGGCGTCACGCGCCCCGAGGAGGGCGAGGAGGGCCGCTCCAGCTTCCAGCGCCAGGAGCAGAGCCCGTACGAGGCCGGCCCGGAGACGGGCACGCGCATGTCGTACGCCGACATGGAGCGCGAGCGTTCGCGCCGCCGCTACGAGGAGTACCTGGACGAGCAGGACTCGGACAAGCTGCCCAACGTCTTCGACCACGGGTGGCGCGCCAACCTCCGGCACCTGTTCGGCCCCACGCCTCTCCTCTGGTTCGTGCCCGTGTGCAACACGTCGGGTGACGGATGGTACTGGGAGGCCAGTCCTCGCTGGCTGGAGGCGCGCGATCGCCTACGCGCCGAGAGGGAGCAGCAGCGTCTGCGCGAGGTGAATGCCGGGTGGGGGCCGAGCTACGATGACGACGACGTCGGCAACGACGTCGACGACGACTCCGTGGCCCGTGTGAACGGCGCGCGGCCATCCAACGGGAGCACCAAGGCCGACCGAATCCTCGGTCGCGACCCGAACCTGTACGCCGACAGGACGCAGGACGCCGTTCCGATGAAGAGGCTGAGCAGCGGGCCGCACCGCCACCGCTACAGGACAGTGGACGACGAGCTCGCCGAGATTGACGGCGTGGACGGCGACGAGGCCGAGCACGCCGCCGCCATGAACGTCGTCACCAACGGCGCGTGGGGGAAGGGCGGGGCGAGTGGTGTGTTGAGGAATCAGGGACAGGGCCAGCAGCAACGGCGGTCGCCGCCTGCCGCGGGTGTACAGGTGCGAAGGTATCAAGATGATGGAGTCGACTGATGTGTCCAGTATTACGTGTGTAGTCTTCTTGTTGCCGACTCCCATCATTGTACGAGGGTGATGTTATATGCTGCATGCGTGGGGATATAGAAACGCACTTTTATGCCGATACCATGATTGCTTTGTTTTTCTGTCACTCCCCCCCCCCCCCCCCCCCATTCTTTTTGACTGTTTTGTTTAGAGCTTTTTTGGGGGGAGGGCAATTCCCTTTTCAAAAGATTGTTTCATTCATCTGTATATCATGTCGGAGATGGTACATACAAGAACGAGTAGTATAATAATGTAATACATCTCATTTGTTACCCTTTACTACTACTACTACTATTACTACGACTCGTATCCTTACGGAGTATTATTACGAGTAGTTTACGAAGACGAGAATCCCCCGCTAATACGTTATAATACATGTACGTACGAGTAATGTGAAACGTGCGATCCCCATCTACAATCAATCAATACACACGCCCCCCAGGACAAGATGACGGGGGCCTGCCTATCGAGTAAGCCGCTTACTCAGCAGCCTAGAAACTTTTCCATGTATCCGTACTCTGTACTCAGTAGAAAATACGAAGAAAAAAAGAGGTACAGAGTGCCTGTACACGTATTGTACTTTCCCCCTTTTGTTTTTCTTTTCCTTGCCGTTTCGGTACCGTATTTCTACGGGTGAATAAAAGGAGAGAAGAAAAAAAAAAGAAAAAACTACCCTTTACACTTCTGACCCGAACCCCATCGTTAACATTACTAATCATACCAAAATGACCGTTTTGCGACGTTGGTATTACTAACAATCTGAGTCTTGGGAGGGGAAGAAAAGAAAAAGAAAAAAAGAGAGAAAAAAACCCTCCCGTGTGTATTTCATCTTGTAGTTGCCACGTCATTTCTCTTACCCCCCCAATTCTACCAGTCCTCGTGACAGTCATGATATATCGGACGTACCTGTAAGGAGTAATATATGTAAGGTGTTGTCTACTTGTACGGATACATGTCGATCAAAAAACGGCTTGACAAGGGGGAGAGGGGGGGGGGGGGGGGGGGGAAGGAGATTGACGGGAGAAAGCTCCTCAATTGACCGGGACCAAAGGAAGGAAATCAGGGGCAAGACATTATGAGGGAGGAGAGAGAGAGAGAGAGAGATAGTAAATACTAATCTGTACTCCATATTGAGTGAGGGAATAATACATGTACTGATTAATGAGAGAAAGAGGAAGAAGGGAAGGAAAAAAAAAAACTCCCCTGAGCCCTGCCAAGCTTCTCATAGGCTTCATTGCGTCATCGGACATGCGACAGGGTGATTGTCTCCCTCTTGATACGTCATTGGCAATTTCGAAAGTACGAGGAGGAGGGGGAAAGGGTCATGATGTACGAAGTATCATTACTCCGCAAGGCCTTCTTATCTGGACGGTTTTTTTTTCCCCCTTGGTGTGAGGATGAAGATGTAGGAAATACTCCGTAGAGTACGGACGACATGCATAACAGATGAAATGCAATGTCGACTTTTATTTTATTTTTATTTTATCAATTATTATTATAAAAAATTTTTTTACAGAAAAACATCACATGGGATTCGATCATGATAGAGGCAGCAAGGTAGTCATAAAGAAAAAAAGAAGAAAAAAAAGTGATAGCCAGACGATATTCAATATGTAGCCAAGTAATTCATTTGCAGCGCGAGCCGCCAAAAGAGTATAGAGAGTGTCAGCTGCCCCGATGCAATCAATCCTGCCTGCGCCAACATGCTAAGAGATCCTGATAGAATCAAGATTACAAAAAGACGGTTCAAAAGAGATAAAACGAACATAAGATAACCCAATGAGAAACCACCCTCCGTCTATTTTTGGTGGAAAATGTCTGTGTTCCCTTCCGTGTGCTATGCTCCATCCAAGAATACCCAAAAATGCCCCCAAATGTGTAATGAAACTCGAAAAAAAATTCGTCATGTTAGTGAGGAATAGAAGAAAGAAACAACAAATAACAAAACATGCTAGATATGCCATTGTCCTCCGTTGATTTTTTTCTTAATGGGCTTTTCGACTTCCACCTAGGGGAATCCATGCAAAGTGACAAAAGAAAAAAGAAAAAAAGGGATAATAATAACACAAGAGAGGGAAAGAATCCAGCCCGATGAAGAAGAGAAAAGAAAAGAGAAGAAGAAAGAAGAAGAAAAAGCAAGATTAGCGATTGTATAGTGTAACCCCCATCAATGAGAGAAACAAAAAAGAGTAGTCAAATGACCATCGAGGCCGTTGAGTCGTCGGTCGTCATGTCGGTAAGAATCGGGTATCTATATATATATATATATAGTGGCGAGTTGTGGTGACAGTCAAGACGCGGTACTGTCCAAAAGTGTAACAGCTACCTGGCACTCTCAAAGCTCGCCTTGTCACTCCTGTCACACTTGTCAAAGGTCCCCCGGGGGCTGGTATTGATACGCCCAAACACCTTGCCGCCGAGGTTCTTGAGCTTGTTGACCTCCTGCTTGCGACGCGGCGCATCCACCATCGTCTTGACCACCGGGTCCACCTGGATCCGGCAGAAGAGCGAGGAGAAGAGGTACTGCACACCCTCAAAATTCTCCAGGGGCAGCGTGCGGTAGCCCTGACGGAGGTTGCACAGCTTGGCCGTCCACGACGCGATGCCGTAGATGTCCTTGTTGTTGGTGCTGTACGTCTCGCCGTTGGGCGACAGCTTGACCGTGAACTTGAGAAAGATGAACTCGGGGTGCTTGGTCGTCACCATGAACCGGAAACGGCCCTCGTCGAACACGGGATTGAAGCCATTCTCCCGCACAATCTCCGTCTGCGCCTTGAGCACGTTCTCGGCGTGCACCACGCCCTCGGTCGAGTTATCCCGGATGCAGTTGGACCGCCCGTCAAACACCTCGACCTCGATGTACGGATGCATGCACTTGCTCGCCGCCAGCTTGGGCGGCCGCATCAGCTGCTGCGCCGATAGGACGTCGATGCTGAACGACACGACCGACCGCTCCTTCTTGCCGCCAGCAATCGCTGTGTTATAGGGCAGCACCTGGATGTTGCGCAGCTCCGGGGGCTTCAGCACGTAGCCCGACGAGTCGGTCCCGCCGTCAAACATGGCCCGGTTGACCTGCATCGCTACGTCGTTGCTCTGCCAGTTGAGTGCCGCCATCTGCACGCCTCGGCGCCAGTACAGCAGCGGGTCAAAGTTGCTCGACTGCACGCGCGTCGGGTCCGGGTAGATGCGCATCAGGTAGCGCATGTTGTGCAGGTCGAGCGCCATCTTCATCTCCTTGGTCCTCGAGTTCTTGGACAGCGTCGTCTCCTGGAACGAGAAGATGTGGTTGAACTCCTTGGCCTCGGGTGCGTCGAAGCCGTTGAACTTGACCCCGGCGCAGTACACGCCCAGCTGACCGAGAGCCTTGACAGTGCTGTCCGGGTCGTACGAGCCGGCGTCGCTGCCGCTCTCGTTGTCGCTGGGGCTGCTGCCGTCGTTGAGAAGTTCTGAGATGCGGCCCTCGGCAATCGTGTTGACGCGGCCCTTGCTGACGAGCCGGCGCGGGGCCAGGGCAGGCGCGAGCATGGGGCTCTGGGGGAGCGACTGCGAGGGCTGGACGGCGACCTTGTCGGGCACGAAGGCGGGGCGCAGCATGGGCGAAGTGAGGCTGTTGCCGCGTCGCCGACCGACCATGGGCTCGGTGTTGCTGGTGGCGTGGGTCTCCTTGGGCTTCTTGACCTTGATAAGGACGTGCTCCAAGAGCTGCGAGGGTGATGGCAGGGTATCGAGGTTGGACGACAAGGGCTCCTCGACGAGGCGGGAGCCAAAAACCTCGCGCAGGATGATGGGCATGACGCGCTGCTGCTCCTCGCTGCAGCGTACCTCGAGCGAGATCCACAGCGGGAAGAGGGTCTTGACAAAGGCGTGCTTCTTGATGACGATCAGCACCTCACGGAAGCTCAGGTTGCTGGTCAGCGTCTGGCCATGGGTGACCCTGGGCTGGCCGTTGGGGCCGTTCCAGCAGTCAATCTCGACGCAGCGGCAGCCTTGGACTAGGGCCGAGATGTATCCCTCGACGCTCGAGTTGCCTGCAATCTGGCGTCCGAGGAGATAGGTGTTGTGGGAGCTGGAGATGAAGTACTCGTTCATCGGGCGGTCGAGGGAGTAGGACTGGGGCTCGGGGATCAGGGGCCCATTCTGCTTCGACGTCAGGTACCCGGTGAAGGCGGCCTCCGACATGAGCTGCGTCTCTGGGCGGTGGTCGGCGGCGGCAGACGCGAGAGGGGGCTTGTCGTAGCCGGCACTCGCATTCGACGAGTGACGGACCAGCCTGAAGAACTCCTTCTCCCAGATGCCGACGTTGGCGTCGACGTTCTCGCCCTGGACATCGCGGAGAAAGCGTAGGAACTCGTCGAGGCTGATGCCCAGGTCCGGCTGCTCCGCAATCGAGTGCATGATGCGGCGGACCTCGGGGCGCTGGTTGAGGCGGCGGACAAAGTCGAGGAATTCGGAGAAGCTCAGCCGCTCGACACCCCGCACGTCGGCCTGGGCAAAGGTGGACTCGAGCGTGGACTCGGAACTGTAGATGTGAAGCTTCTGGCACATGCGCTTGACGCCGGCAATGTCGAGCTCGCCGGCCTGGCCGCCGGGGGAGCCGGGCTGCCGGTCGGGAAACTGCCTGGCCATCTCTGACTGCCAGTAGTGGGCGATGGCCTCGTCCTTGAAGGCCATGAGCGACGTCATGACCTCTTGGCGGTGCCTGAGCATGGCGTCGAGGAACGAGATCCACACATTGCAGACCTCGGGCGTCTCGGTGATGAGGTGCATGATCTTGTTGTCCGACTTCTTGGGGACTGAGTAGATAATGGTGAAGAGATTGTCGACGCCGGGCATGTTGAGGTCAATGCCGTACTGCTGGACGTCGGGACCGCTGCGCACGGCGAGGATCTCGTCGAGGTGGACAAACTTGTTGGGTCGCTTCTTGTCCCAGGTGAGCTTGCTAGAGTCGGGGTCGTAGACGAGGCAGACGCGCCTGGAGCGCTTCTTGCTCGACACCTTCGTGAGCCAGGTCCCCCGCTGCAGCTCGGAGGGTATGACGGGGCCGGCCATGGTGTCGGGCTCCTCGGCAATAGACTCGGCTACGCTGCCGGCCGAGACACTGCGGACCGAGGCGTCGCGGTGCATGCGATTGCCATCTCTCTCGTCGACATCGGACTCGGGGTCAAAGGGGGTGGGCAGGAAGTCGGCAGGTGCCGTCGTGTTGCTATCACTCCGGCGACGCAGCAGACAAGGGCCGACGCTTGTATCGCGGACGCTCGGGGCGGTCGAAGACTGCCTCCTGGTGCTGATGCGACGCGAGGCGCGGCTCGACAGGCGACGGATGAGGCTGGTCTTTGCGGGGGCGCTGGCGGCAATGGCGGGGCTGGCACCACCGTCGAGGGCATTGGACGACGGATTGTTCCTCAGGCTCTGGCCCAGAGAGGTGGAGCTCGTCTTGCGTGAGACAATGGATTCAGGGAGCTGGAAGTTGGGGGGGTACTGATCCTCGTCGGAGGCGCGGGGGGGCTCCGGCGACGCCTGGACTGAGGAGCTGGTGGTTAGGACGGCGGTATCGGGTGACATGATGGGAGAACCCGACCGGGAGCTCGAGGCCACCGAAGAGCAGCTGGTGGCCGAGGTAGGCTGTGGTGACGATGAGGTATGTGTTTCTAGGTTGGTCTGAACCTGACTGGGGCGCAGCAGCTTCTGCTGAAAGGGAAATATGGACATTTTGAAGCCCAAAAGGGGCGACGCTGTTGATTGTGGATCTGAATAGCTGGACATGGCTCTCTATCTGGGAGGGCGCGTGTATGTGGAAAGCCAAGGGAGTTGATGGAGCTCTGTAGCGTGTTGAGCTTAGACGAGAGTATGTGTATATATATATGTGTGCGTGTATGTGAGAGAGAGTGTGTGTGTGTGTGTGAGTTTTGATTGCTTCAAGCGGTAGTAGTAAAGGCTACTATGGCAAGAGCAGACTGGGGCATATCGGGAGATTGCGTCAACATTTATAAGATGCAGCGGCACGCGGCGTACATGATGGGACGGGCCGCTCCAGCAGTAGGGTGGTGGTTGGGTGCGGGGGAAACGACCAGAACAAGGGCCTCGGGGCAGCTGACACCACAGACGAGAGCGCGGATGCCGTCAGCCTGAAGCGGGAGAAGATCACACACAAAAAAAAAAAAAAAAAAAAAAGCCAGGCAGAGAAAAACGACCGAGTACAGGGAAGATTCGATGTACCGAACCCTCCCTATCTGCAGGTTATATGAGCGTCCAGGGTGACGGTTGGAGGGATAGCTGCAGAGTACGCTGGGGCCAAGTCGACGCAGGCTATATGCAGCAAAGACACGGCAACAGTAAAGAGGTATCGACCTCTCAATAGAGGGGTACAGTATGCGTGTATGCGTGTGCGTGTGTGTGCGTGTGTGCAGTGCCTGCTGCAGCACAAGGAGCAATATGGATAGCTACCTGTCGGTGGGGTGGGCCACGCACAGAAAGAGCAAGAGATGGAGGTAGAAAGGCAAGGCAAAACGGCCAAAAGAGGTCAAGGTCTCGTGGTGAGCAGGAGCTGCAGATCTGGCGCGCGTCCAGAGAAAGGAGGTGGGCAATTGCAACAGCGAACGCTGAGTTGGCAGCCAATGTATGCAGGTCGCTTGTTCGGGTACTCTGGGGGCAGGTCAAGTAGTCGTATTTTTTGCTGGGCAACAACAAGTCGTCCGTGGACAGAATCGAGTTGCTCCGTCGTAATACGTCCTTGGATGGCAATGGGCCAAGCGACGCGCGCGTACGGCAGTGGGAAGTCGGAGAGGGAAACCAGATGTCGGATTCGAGGCGGATGACTCTTGTCTATGCAGTAATATTTGGCTTCCTTTCGTGGTGTCGAATATGGGCAAAGATGGAAGAAAACCCCGTTTTTTTCCTGTCTTGTCTGTTTTGTTGCTTGTCGGAAGACAAGGGAATTTCTGGGTCTGCCTGCGACCACGGGAAGCAAGATGGCGATTAAGACAAGGAGAAAGAGATGTCGAACAAGAGGGCTGTCGAGATTTGAGGTTGAACGGGAGTCGTCGGGGAACCAAGATTTCCTCTTTTTTTTCCTTCTTTTTTTTTCTTTTTTTTTTTCGCACTAAGTCACTCTGGTGTTTCTGTCCTGCAGCAGGGCTGGCGTCGTTTAGGGAAAGCAAGAGAGAACGAGACAGAGAGTATTAGATGGGGGGGAAAAAAAGACGGTTCTCGGTCGAAGAATGGTAAGCAAAAAAGAGATGGAAGAAAAGGAAGGAGAGAGGTCTTGTCTTGCAGTAAAGATAAAAAGAGTAAAATAGTAGGAGGGACGAGGTCGTAAAATAAGCGTATAAGGGCTAAAGGGCTGGGGTTGATGATGGTAGCAGTAATAGTAGCAAGTAGCAGTAAGTGAATGGGTTTAATATGGGCGAGTGGGTGGCCGTCAACGGCGGATAATGGCAGATCTTCTTTTCCCTTCGTTCTTTTTAATCTTTGCTTTTTCTACTCGTACTCCATAAAAGGGTCATGCAAGGTCGAGAGGTAGGGAGCCATGGAAAGTTACACACTGTAATGATTGGGAAAGAGCTCTCTTCCAAAGGCTGAGTGAGAGAGAGGGAAGGAGAAGGGGGTGAAGGGGGTGGGAAAGAGTAACTGGAGCAAGAGCGACTTCCATTACCAGGGGGGGGGGGGCGAAGGAAGAAAGAAAGGAAGAAAGAGAAAGAGAAGGAACGAGGGAGGGGGGGAGGAGGGGGGTGGTGCTATAATCTGCTGGAAAAGTGGAACATGATTGAATGGGTTGCCGGGACATGGGGCTGGTGTTGGAACTTGGGCTCCAGCAGCCTTAAGCTAAGGTGAAAAGCCTACGAGCATTCGTAATGTTCGTACTCGTAGTATTAGTGGTTGTGGTAAGAGTACAGAGCGCGTACTATTACTATGGAGTCATAGTAGTGGTGGTGATGGTGATATCAGTACTGCTCGTAGAATAGTTACGACTACGGCTATAGGGGGCGTGTGTGTGTGTTAGGTTGGACCATTCAGGCTCGTCATGGACGATGTCGGTTATCCTGCCCGGATTAATAGCGACTTCCAGCGGGTGCAGGGTGCTGCCTGGTTAAGGCTCCGACAGCCATGCTCAGATTGACTCGGATGAGGATCAGCGGTGCTGGGAAAGAGAAGTTGAGGAGTTTAGAGGAAGCGTAAATACCATCATTACGTAGTTTGACAGGATTGGCAGGTTTGGAAGCATCAGCACAGGCATCTGTGACGAGACTCCCCAGTACGGAGAACATAGCTAACACTCCGAAATGCCGGTAAGTGTTAACTGTAGACTCTAGCCGATAGGAACAACCAATATTCGACTACTATTAATACATTTCCCATTCGACTTCGGTCAGTTAGGCTCTGACAGGAAGAAAGGGGGCTAGACTTGACGCCATAGTCGTGCGCCAAGAGAAACTGACATGCAGGTTGATAGGTACTCGTACATGCAGATGTAGACTGTAACGGTTGATAGTAGTAGTATTAGTAGTACGGAGTAGCAGTAGTGTCAACACACGTTCAGGTTATTCCCTCTTTTTTCTGAACCTGTAAATGTGACGAGAAGTCTTCCATGCCCAGACTATTTTTTTGTGCCACGGCAGCCTGCAGAAAACAAGGCCAGTCAGTCAGATTCTCGGACTCTCGCATCACAGTCACGGCGCCAGAATGATACGAGTATCACTTTACCTGCACACATTGCTTTGTGCTGGTAAAAAAGTAAAAAATTGAATAAGATTAAAAAAAAACCATCACGAGATACTCACAGGCTGAGGAACCTGGGGTATTAGTTTGATTCCTCCCCCCCCCCCCTTTTTTTTTTTTTTCCACTTCTGCATGCCTCTGGATCATCTGTTTCTTCTTTTTTCTTTCTTCCTTTTCTTACTTTATTCCTCTTCATATTTCCCATACAAGAGTCATGCATTGACCAATGTCAATAGTAATACTAACAGAATTACCCCTTTCGAGGGCCCTAGGGTGACAGAAAAGGAAGAAAGGAAATAGTGTGGGACCAGGTGGCGAGGACACACAAGGCAAAAAAAGGAGAGACCGGGGAGCACGGACAGAACGATGTCATCGGCTCAGGGTTTTTCGTTCTTTCTTTCTTTTCTCCTTCTTTTTCCTCTTCTTCCTTTTCTTTTCGCCAGGGTCCCCTGGTCGGTCAGAGGTCGGTCATAATATTCATACAAGTCCCCGTTTATTATTCCTTTTGTTTACCAGAGTGGCATGGGACTTTTCTACCACTCATAGCCATCAGCCACTGCTAAACACCATCCCCTCCCCGGCACCCCGTCCCAATCAAAGATCATCATGCGCGCACACCCCTAGCAGCATCTGGCCATGATGATTTGGGTTGTGTGTGTGTCGCCCTCTCTAGTAATACTCCATACATAATCTATTACGTCGTATAGCCAATTCCCCAGGACTGCTACATAACTCGGGAAAAAATAAGATACTTGAAAAGAAAAGGGAAAGAAAAAAAAGGACAGGGGGTTGGAGGTGTGGAGACTGCCAACTCGCGTCTTGACCGATAGCTTGGCTGCGCTGAGGCGTCATCCAAACAGTATGCAGCATCACTAGATGAAAAGCGCCACAAAGTCTCAGATCATGTCTGATGTTTTTCCCTTCTTCTCTAGCCATTCCGACTCTGTCCGGATAATATGACCGACAGCCTAAGCGCTGCCTGAGATACTTGGGAGAGCCAAGCTAGTGTACCCCAGTCAGCAAGGTAATATCACTCTTACGCTCTGTCACGACTACTCGTACAATGAACAGTGGCGCAATTGCATGAAACGAATCGACTTACGTCATCTATGCGTCGTCGCGGGGGGTACCTAATGTACAGTTGTGTACGTTGTTTTCGTCTGACTCAATGATGCGGAAAGCGCAGTGTAAAACAACTCTACCCGTACCTGTATTATCTGTCTCTCTCTTGCTTCACTGTATAACAGGTAGAGTGTAGGGTCTGATCAGTGATCAGTTTCGGCCTCCAAGATTTGGAAGGGGGGGGGGGGGGGGGCGGCGGGGGCTCAGGAGACCTGAGGACAAATTTCATACAATATGTACTGGCCACGTACTTGTCCAGGTGGTAATAGTATCTAGTATTTTCCTGGGTCCAGTCACAGAGAGTGACGTTGGCGCTGACAACTTGGGAAGAAGAGAAAAAGAAAAGAGAACCGACCCCCCTCAATATCGCGGAAAGCTCGTGAGAATCGCTACCATATACAGTAATTTACGGGGCCGCGTAAAGCCCCTCCTAGCGCGGTACATAGAGTACAAGAACGCTCAATTCATACTCGATTTCTTACTTTCCTGTTGTACGATCTCGACTGAGTTCACCTAAAAGAAACGGAAGCTGACTAGACCTAGACCCTCCTATGACTCTTACTCTCTCTCCCTTGATCTCCCCTCCCCGCACATTTCTTTTCTCTTCTTCTAATTCCCGAAGGTGAGGCGCGGTAGCCATACGACATACCTCTCTGACTCCGGCCTACAGGTACGCGAGTACGGGATTATTGCCTGCAGGCTTTATGCTGTCCTACGCTGTAATACGGCTCTGCAAAACACTTCTGTATCTCTCCAGCTGACAAGCTTGGAACTCTTCTCTTATTAGTGTGCGACATTGCCCATCGATGACCGCACAACAACCCGTTGACCGCATATTATCTTCTTCTCCTTTTTCTTCTTCACCTCTCTCT